GGGGGGAGGGGGGAGAGACGGGGGGAGAGAGAGAGACGGAGAGAACGAGTGGTAGGAGGGAGGAATAAAAGTGCACGTCCGCTCTACGACGGGTTTCCTACTTCCGGCCGTTCGTTCGCCTCCTGGTGTCCCGTCGCACGCACTATTCACGTCGATGAGGACGATCCAATGTAACGTCCGCGCCCGCCGAAAACTTGAGGAGTCTCTCTCCTTGGCGCAGCGCGATGGCCAAGCTAGAGCCGATGGGCGGTGCAGCGAGAAAGAGAGAGACTAGACAGAGATAGAGGAAAGGAGGGACCAGCAGCGGGTGAGAGTGCGCTTTAGCTCTCTCTCTCGTACGCTTGCGATCACGCGCAGGTCCTACGAACCGACACGGTGCAATCGAGATCCCTGACTGAGCAGCCGTCGCCCGTGGAGCCTTGCCCCGCGAGGCGACAGGGCCGCCAACTGTCGTCGGCGTTCCAATTAAAAGTCCCTATCGCAGCGGTTCTCATTCTCCTCCTTCGCCTAAAGCTCGTTTCCAGAAGTTGATCTACAACTTTAATCTCGATGCAACTTAAAGCCACAGCACACTTTTGCGTAATGCGGTATAACGCATAAGTTCCATTTTATGAAATGGAAGGAAAGGTAGGATTGTGCGTGATTTTTTTTTGCATTATGCGGTATGCATTATATGCAAAAATCTGTTCTATAGCCTTTAATTTTTATCTTTTTCTAATTCTTATGTCCGTTTTCATCCAGCGTAGAGAGAGAGAGAGAGAATGTGTGTGTTTGATTTTATTATCTATTCAACTCCATTTTTTTAATTCTTAGAACTAAGAAAAATTAAATAGTTAATTGAACAAAGATTAACGTTAAACTATTATTGGTGAAAAGAGGTATAAAGACTAGAAAAAGTTAAAAGAGTAAATTAAACCACGCGCAAGATTAAATAAAATTAATCTTACACTTGTAAATTGTAATAATTTAATAAAAATAGATGTAGTTTTTATTACCTTTTATGGTTTTGTATAATATGCCGAATATACATTTGAATGAAACCTAGCTAATTGAGTCTACATTGCTAGAAATTGCTCCAAAATTTTGGGTGGAATTAAAATAAGGTTAATTAAAATAAGGTTATTAAATAATAAACAAATTTAAAAGTTTCACCGTAGGTTTTTAAAAATTACAAAATATAATAATTAATTTATAATTTATTATTTAAGATTTAGCAAATTAGCTTTTGTAACTAGACAATAAAATTACACGTTTATTTTTTCAGTTAAAATAACACATTTATAACTGAAAGAGAATATACACCATATAATTTTAGTTTCTTCATGTACAATCACTTTAAATTTGTAACTTCTTTTAGCGTTAAATTATTACTGAAAATAAAAACTAAGGCTTTCATTTTTTAATTTAAATATTTCGATAAATGCAGGATGTAGATTTTTGCATTTATGTTTATTGTGATATACTGAAACATTTGTAACATTTTTTCTATAACTACAAAGTGCGTCACCAAAATCCGGATAAATTTGAATTAAAATTCTCCGCTATATTGTGTCTCCACCAGAGGATATTGTTGATTTTCTGAGAAAGCATAATGCTTACTCTAATAAACAGTCATATTCTCAAAATGGCCACGGATGTTGAAATCAACTGCGGAGTATAATCAAAGAGCCGCCATCCCTGTCCCTGTTGTTGCTAGAACGAAATTTCCGACCAATGTTCACTAGTGCTAGGTGTCATGTCCAGTGAGGGTGATATCATGCCATCACATTTCTTTAAAAAAGGGGGAACTGTCGAAAAAAAGTGTATTTGCGCGTTCTAATGGATGTAGTGAAGCCGTGGATGGAAATATAGCGTCCGGAAGACCATGTTTTTCAACAGGACGGTGCACCGACTCATACGATTCATTTGATTCAAATTGGCTCTCAGACAATGTCGATGTGTTTTGGTCCAAGGAATTCTGGCCTCCCAACAGCCCAGATTTAAATCCTTTGGACTATACTACGTATGGAGCGTAGTTGAAAGGATCACTAACAAGTCTCCGCATCCTAATGTGACGTCATTAAGGACCGCTATTGAGACCAGCATTCGTCGACATGAACAGCGCTACATTACAGCGTGCGTGCTTCAGACCAAGAATAGAGACCATCATTCAAGCTAATGGGGGATATATCGAATAATTATGCTCTATATAGGGATCCCCCAAGTGCCACATAAAAGAATTTTTTGTAATATTTAATTTTTCATTGAAAACATTTTATTTAAAGAAATTGTTCGATTTGTCCGGATTTTGGTGACGCACCCTATAGTATTAAAAACGGCTAAATTTTATTTACTTAATTTTTTTTGTTCTAAAATCAATGGATAAGAACTGGTATACACATGTATGTATAATCTGTGTGTATAATGCTACTAATAGAAACTATATACTTAAAATTAAATAAAGTAATTGAATAAAGATATTGAAAATGTGCAATCTTTACATTTGATTTCATTCGTAAAAAGACTAATACTTATTTAAGACTGATTACCATGCCATATTTAGTAACGCGTAAAATTTTTGCAGGAGTTCCATATTATTGTGATACGATTTTATTTACTCGATTAAAAATAATTTTATTAAAAATTTAATACGTTAAACGAAAACAACATGATTTTTTTATGATACGAAGAAAAAGAATTATAAAATATTAAAGTAGGTATTAGATTTATTAAGTTATTCGGTACTGAAATATATATACATATATGTATTTGTAACAATTATTACATTGTAGGAAATTATAATGTTCATAATTAATGTTACTGTTAATTATGTAGTCTGCATTATAGGAAATGATGAAAATTAACCTAAACACAAACGACTCATCATACATAATAATAACATATTAAAGAGCAGAGAATAATTAAGTCATATATATTGTATAGCAAAGGATTAAACAATTTTATCGATTGAATTAATTGCTGAGTGTATAATATGTCCGTTTCTTCTAATTTTATTAAATTTTTAGAACTAAAAAAAGATAAGGAGTAGGTATGAACCTAGTTTAAAGTTAATTTATTGTACATATACATAAAAAAGTGGAATGAATACATCCATTTCTACCAATACAATTTTGATCTCGATTAAACCAATACTTTTCATCTTTTTTCTAGATATAAGAATTAGAAAAAGACAAAGAGTAAGTTAAACCAGAATTAAACTTAATTTACATTGGTAAAAACAGGCATAAGTTAAAAATTTAATCGAAATTGTCACAATTATAATTATATTTCGCAATCCTCAAAAACGTCCTCCGACACACGTCGGAATGAGAAGCACTGCAAAGCGTAGTGAAGTTGTCCGCTCGATCTCTCGTTCGTCGATAGATCGCATGTCCATTACGGCCATTCGTTCGTTGGCGCGTTGCCGCCGTCGCGGCAGCCAATCATCGCGCGTGCGGAATGCTTCCGCGCCGCGATTCCGCCCGCCTGCGCGCCACGCGAAAGCCACTCATGGAACGCTAAGCACCGCGAGGTCGCGTCATCGCGACCGTCGCTGACTCTCGCGAGTGAGTTGAATCGCCGGTGCGGCGTTCGCGCGATTCTCCTCGAAAGATCATCTCTCTCTCTCTCTCTCTCTCTCTCCTCCGGCCTTCTGTTTGTCTGCAACGCTCGCGATCCGCACCTATGCGAACGTGGTGCCGCGTCGCGCCGTCGCCGTCGCCGCCACTGCGTTCCGTGAGCACGGCTGCGTGGAACCGCTGCCGCCGCCACCGTCGGCAGTCACCGTTCGTACGCGCGTCGCGACGCACCGTCGCCATTTCGCCGAGCGGGACAGCGACGAGAACGACGACGACGACGAGGACGAGGACGAGGACGCTGGCGCGACGCTGACGCTGGCACGCGCACGGCGATGAAGGAGAGCTGAGCGCGGCTCGCCGTCGTACATACGCCGGGCACACGAGGTACGTGTTCTCCAGGCGCATCTTCCACGAGGCGACGCTCAGCGACGCTCCGGAGTGGATGTCAGTGCATGTAGGAATGTCTTTCTTTTTTTTTTTTTCTTTCCTTCGCCGCGTCCCGTCGTTCGCGTCATACCGATGATTGTGAGATCACCTAGCTCTTGTAAATGGAGTATACTTGGTGAACCACGGAATCGCGCGGATGTTTCTTTTACTCCACTGCACTGTGGAGACGCGGTCACGCTGGTGACGGTTGGAGGTTAACTTTTCCAAGCAAAATATTCGCGGAACTTCCTGAAACGCGATAATGTGTATGTGCTGGTCGTTAGAATTATTTCATACTACAGGTAGTGATTATTTCGAACAGCTGAATGCTTTTAATTTGAGTGATTTCTGGTATTAAGTTACTTGTTTTGAGTGTTGAAAATATAGCGTGCTTTTGTTATTTAGTGCTTTTATCGTTCAGAATATTTTTAATATTCGAAATGAAGTACAATAATTTGGTATTGGAAATTACTTACTTTTTCAAAATTAAAAGCGTTATTGTTGAGTGCTTTTAATACTCGAGTAACAAATAATAAAATAATTTCTATTATTTGGTATATTGATCAGGATTAATGTAGATTTCTGTAACGGTTGAAAGAATCTCCTTTCGCCATATGGCTTTACGATTACGACCTCATTTCTATTAATGAAGATTAAAGTCGATGTTTCTAGGAGAGACTCGCCATTCTTATCCCATAATCTTGTAAACGCGCGGAAAGGAACATTAGAAATCCCTGCATCGTACGTTACTCTATTGTTGCATTAATCTCGAAAGTTTATTTTTATGCACGTGTTTCCCGCGAAAGAATGTTTCATCTCACATTGTCTTAGGCCGGAATCAGACTACGGTATTGAAGATTGAGATTGAAAATTGAAAGGTTGAAATTCGGCCAATCAAAATAATAGGAGGTAAAATTCCTTTATTCTCATTGGTCAAATTTCAATTTTCAATCTTCAATCTTAATCTTCAATGCGCAGTTTGATTCTAGTCTTACATGATGTATAATAAGCCGCGTTTTTGTAGCAACTTTTTATAACCGTTTAAATTTAATGTACAGTTAGAGCTGTAATTATTTATGCCGTTTAATAGGAATTTAAAATTAATATTATTATTGGCGCAAAATTATTTATTACGCATTTAAATATGATGTGCGTATAACGATTTCCAGGAATTGTTTTCTTATTGGCTACTTTAGATTAATTCATCGCGTGATGTGAAATATTTATATATCTCTATTACGTATTTTTATATGTATTTAAAATTATAATATTTATCTAAAAACAGAAATAAAATAATATTTCAAAGTCATATATTTTTATTCCTCTGCAGTCAGTTGTTACCTACATCAAGATTGTGTCTCAAAATTAAAATTACGAAATATTAATGACTCGAAATATTCTAATAAAAAAAAATCTTTTTACCGCTCGATTTAGACTGTTTTTTCTTTACACTTTGCATTACAAATAAGGAGCGAAATCTAATTATTCTAATTGATTTTTTGAACACTTCGTTTCTTTATTTGTCTCATTTTAGCAAATGAATAAATATATATAGGTATATCCTTATTATAGTTATTATACATACATTAATAACTTTTTTAGATACATATAATTTTAGATCTCTATATAAAAATATCTTTTATATATCGTTATCGCAGCAAATGAGCGACAAATATATATAATTTTATATATTTCTCTAAAATTTTAACATATGGTATATCTAAAAAATTTATTAACGTTTATCTAAAACTAATATTTATCGTGTATTTATTTAGATACAGATTTTTATATAAATATGTTTACACTTTTTAAGTCTTAGGCCCGGTTGCCCCAACATTACTTGATTTTAAGCGAGACTTAAAACTATCTGTCTCGTATTAAAGCCGAAAGAGAGACAGAGACAGTTCAAGTCTCGCTTAAAACCGAAATCACGTTGGTGCAATCGGACCTTAGTGATTCAATCAAATTTTAATGTTGTATAACTTTTTTTAAAAAATCCAAAGAGATTAATGCGCTCGCGATTCGCACGTAAATAATAATTTAACTCCGCAAGTCTAATGCCGCCGGATCCGGATGACGGTTCTCCTTGCGGATGAAACGTCACTCGTGCGGTTCCACGTGTACGATAGGCGGCCGCGTCTCCCGCGAGTCGTAGGGACATTCTCGCATTCAGATTGCCGGTCTGTCGGTCCCGGGATCGACTGGAAGGTATGTACGTGACTTGTCTACGTGTCGCGTCGCCTCGCGCTAATGGTCGCGCGCTAATTAATCCGGGGACATAGAGATCTAATGGCAATCTACTCGACGAAGGAGTTCATCTTTATCGATTTGTCGAACCTATTCCATTTCAACAATATGTGCGATGATAAACACCGAATGGGATCTCAATATCGGGCAAATTTGGAACAAATCGGGCTTCATGTTGCGAAAGTCGCTATTGAATGCAAAGCACCACGTGCACGAAAAACATTGAGGCGATAATAAATACCAAATACATACAGAAAAATACATACTGTACACAAATAATTGTAATTCAATATTTTAAACGTTTAAATATTTGCAAACCTATCATAACTTTATTAGAAGCATCATTGAAAATATTCTTCCATGAATTTTATAATATTTTTCGAAAGGAAATATATTCTTAGGTAATATTTTTCGCAATGAAAAATTAATTATTTGCAGATTTTAATAGATCATTTAACATTATCATCAAGATGCGCAAACAGCATCAAAAATCGTTAAATTGTTAGTCAATTTAACTCGTGATATTATTGCGGTAGTTTATTAGTGTCTCGTTTCAAGTCTGAAAAAATTTCAGCGCGCAATGAAAATCTACATACGTAAACATAAATAATATTCATATACAATTATATAGAAACACTCAAGATTCAGCATATGTAAACATCAGTTTGAAATATATTCTTGTTTTGAGTACATATTCATAAATTTTTTTTAAATTCTTTGTTTTAGATAACCGTTACTTAAAAGAAAAAAATTAAATATCAAATAATTAATTTTCTTAGTGATTTTTTTCTATATATATATATATATATTTATTAATAACAAATAGTGAAAAAAGATTAATTCCTAATTCGATACTCTTACTGAATTATTATCATCGAGACAAATCGAGCAATCAAGCGAAAGAGTATATTTAATCGAATTTAAACTGTCATGAAAAAATGCATTTTAGCTGGAAAGCTGTTATCCCCAAACAAGATTTCTTAAACATAGAAAAAATCTTTATCTGAAAGTATTTGATTTTCCTTTTCTAGATAAAATATTAGACTAACTATATTTTAAAGAGAGAAAGAGAGAAAGAGAACTGAATTAATCTAGAGATAAACGCCAGACTAATCTCGAACTATCCACATTTTATCAAGTGCGAGATTGAGAGATTTAAATTAAATTTCTCTCTTGCCCTCGTATTCTCGGAATAGATTTATTTTTAGTTCTCGCGAACCAATCGTTATGAAACCGCATCAAACCATGATATGCCGTAGATATATAGACTTTAAAATAGTAATACTAAATAAATGAATATACAAACTACAATAAATAAATATACATACATACAGAAAAATACATACTGTATAATAATAATTACTTGTTTCAAAATTACTTATTTCATAAGTTCTCATGTATCCACAAATTTAACACAAGTTTATCACAAAAGCGTCCAATTTATTCAAAATAAATTCTGAAACCTAATAAGCTTAATACTTGAATCAAAATTATTGAATTAAAACAAATTTGATTTATTTATCAATAATAGTTATTATATGAAGTCGTTTAGGACATTAGCAATGGATCGTGACACGGCGATAACCAATAAATTCTTTAATATCTCTGATGAAGTCGTCTCTTTTAATTTTATAATATTTTTCAAAAGAAAGTAAATTCTTGTTTTGAGAACATAATAATATTTTTTTTAATTTGTGTAATAAGTATATTCATATTTTAAGATTATATTAAGAAGATATTTTTTGTTATAACAAACAATATTTAAATGGAAGAGATTAAATTGAGTAATCACTTTTCTTGGTAATAGAATGATATTTTTCTGTGTGCAATATGTATACATATATATTTTATGAAAATAATATCGCGACGTTCTTGCACGTATCTTTTTCGCCTTGTACGTATACTGAAAATAAAAGTCTAGGAAGAGGCTGGAGTAAAAGGGAAAAAGAAAATTAGTATAAAAAAATATGTATGCACAAGTATGCAGTATATGCGATGCAAATATTATAGACTTAATCTAAAAGTAATAATTCCGTACAAGGCGATTTTTAATTACACAGGTAAGAAATATTATTTCTCCGGAAGTGACGGAGGTGAAGGAGATAAACGACATAGAGACGTTGATTAAAAGCATGTGCGATGGAGACAAAACGATCCTTGTCGGTTATGCATACAAATGATTACGGCGATTATCAAAGTATTTTCTGAAATGACTACCGCAATAGTCGATGAATAAATGAATTGCCAGGAGAGACGCTCGTTTCTTTTTAAGAGAAGAATCATACTCTTATTTGTTATTGTTCACTGCTACATGATTTGAAAGAAAATACGAATATCTTGCCAACTGCAATTCTGCATAGTTAATTTGAAGTAAAAGCTGCATACGTATGTATCGATTTGCAATAATTGCAGAATTATGAGGATCTCAATTTCAACATCACGGATCTTATTTGTATTGCAATCAGTGAGAGCTGTAATATGTTTGGTTTTGTACTACAGAACAGGTAATTTCTCAACGCTACACATTCAGTCTAGCATTACAGTGTCAACAGTGGCAATAATGTCAACAATTCATTATGTAGATATGCAGAACGCACGTTTGCGATGCTTGCAATATCTCACGGTGTTTTTGCACCTGTCAGCTACGTATTTTAACGTAATCTATATGCATTTAGTTTATTGATTAATAAACAGTTATGTGGATTCTTCTGTCCGTTGGTCGTTCAATCGGATGTCAAGGCATATCACGGTAAATGTTACAAATTCAATCGGCCAACATTCGCGATACGTTTCTCACCCGGAACTAGATCCTGCGAAAATTATCTCAAATGACTCGAAGTTTTCTGCGTACATGTTCAAAGAGTACTATATATATATCGTTCCCGAGCCCGGCGTGGCGGAACGCCAGATACACATACGGGATCGAGTCCGTTTGCGAGCGAGCGTCACGTTTCCGCGCGAACGGTACACGTGCGCGTGAATGCATCGTCGTCCTCTTCTTCCTCTTCACTGCTGTCTTCTTCGTCGTTGTTTTCATCGTTCTCGACGATGCTGTTATTGCTGTGTTTACGAACAAAACAGGACTCGTATCGCGCGTGCTCCGAAATGTCAGTGAACTCGAATCCGGCTGCTAAGTAGCCAGCCCGCCACGTCTCTCCGCTTTGCCTCCCCGCGACCTTCTGCTCTACTCGGTGAAAAATCTCATTAATACTGGATCGGGAAAAAGAACGCAAAGCGCCGATGCGAGGGACAAATGGATCAAAGCAAATTGGAAGAGATGTATATATATCCATCAAAGGAGTTGATTCTATAATCCCCTTGGTATCAGCGATTAACAGAGTATCCAAATACTTTTTTAAAGTGTCTTTTGGCTATGTGAAGTTGGCCCCCCCACTATTGAAAATCTGAAAATGACCATTACCATTCGTTTGGTGGTCGTTTGGTGGTGTTTGGTAGTCCATTTCGGACGTTTGGTAGTCAAAGATATAATGAGAAATGTCAAAAAAAGTAGAACGCGCGTGAAGTTAGCCCCCCTATTTCTAAAACTCGGCTTTGCAGACTGCAAATGCAATAATAACCGTAAGCATTCGTTTGGTGGTCGCTTACTGACGTTTGGTAGTCCATTCCCGACGATTGGTAGTCGAAATTATAACCGGAAATATCAAAAAAATGATATACGCGCGTTAAGTTAGCCCCCCCCATTTTTAAAACTCGGCTTTGAAGAACGCAAATGCAATAATGGCTGTAAGCATTCGTTTGGTGGTCGCTTACTGACGTTTGGTAGTCCATTCCTGATGATTGGTAGTCGAAATTATAGGTGGAAATATCAAAAAAAGGATACATGCGTGTGTTAGCCCCCCCCATTTTTAAAACTCAGCTTTGCAGAATGCAAATGCAATAATGGCTGTAAGCATTTGTTTGGTGGTCGCTTACTGACGTTTGGTAGTTCATTCCGGACGTTTGGTAGTCAAAGTTATAATGAGAAATGTCAAAAAACGAAAAGACTTCCAAACGTCCGGAATGGACTACCAAACGTCAGTAAGCGACCACCAAACAAATGCTTACAGCCATTATTGCATTTGCAGTCTGCAAAGCCGAGTTTTTAAAATGGAGGGACTAACTTCACGCGCGTTCTTCTTTTTTTGACATTTCTCATTATATCTTTGACTACCAAACGTCCGGAATGGACTACCAAACACCACCAAACGACCACCAAACGAATGGTCATGGTCATTTTTAGATTTGCAATAGTGGGGGGGCCAACTTCACATAGCCGTGTCTTTTAAATTGACGTAACATATTATCTCGTTTGCAATTTATTATAGCAACTGTGCTTTTTACATTTATTATGAATGTATCAATGAAACGTATTGTTATATTATAAATTGAAGAGATTTTACGACAATGGGAAATTAAGTTGAAAAAAACTCCATTTAGCTTGCCTAATTAAGAAATCTAGAAGATGGAAATTTTAAAGCTTTAATATATTATTATAATTAAATGCTAAACACGCATAAAATTTAATCCTTAATAAGAACAGGACAGATTATAATTATTTTAAAATAAATCTTCAATTTTTCATTATAGCAATTTTTAATTGTTATCATGTTTTTTTCCTTTCTGAAAAGAAGGGAAATCAGAAATCCGACTAATGCTTGTTACCATCGATGTAATTTAATTTTAATTTGAAATAATTCTTTATTTAAATTTCAAAAATCTAGCTCTAAATTGCTAAGCAAATAATAAAAAGAAGATATGTCATATAAAGAGCATATGATTAATTCAATATATAAATAAATGGAAAGTTTCGACTTAACTAAGTCATCATCAGCCACGAAAAAATTCTTTTTTAAATTGTAATCTTAATCATATGCTCTTTATATAACCTACCTTCTTTTTATTTCTTTATCTATTTCTAGTTCTAAGAATTAGAAAAAGATGAAAAGTAAGTTGCACTAAAATTAGAATTTATTGATAAAAATGGATATAAAAGAGAAGAAAATATTTGAGCGATGTTCTTTCGTTTTCCCGGGGCAGAACAGCAGTAGGACGATACGGACGAAAAGGAACAAAAGTGAAAGTTAAATGATTCGTCGGACCAACGAGGCCAACGAGACTGTTTCGTAAATTACACAAATAATATTAGATATCTGTATATTCTCCTCATTTATTTTTCTATCTTCATCCAGTTTGTATAAACATATATCTTTCATATCTTTATTTAATAGATATCTATACATGGATTAGAACGGGAAATAATATTTGTAAGCAATTGGTGTGTCAATCTCTTCAGGGAGAAACTTTTCATGTACATCGAAAAGAATGATTTTACTGAAGTATCTAAAAATTTAACTAGATACAGGTCTGAATTAAATAGAACTCTCAAGTATAATATACAGTGATGAAAAAAGTTTTAATATTTTACCAGTTTGAGTGTTCTCCATAATTATTTTGATAGTCAAAATATGTAATATATAAGGTAAAATGTTGCGTATAATGGCGACAGCATACTGGAAACGACAAATCAAATTTGAGTCCACAAATTCATTCTTCTACTGTTTCATCTTATCTTATTACACAGAGATTTGCATCTAACTAAATCTTTAAATATACATCCGCAAAGTTGTCCTTTTCGTGTATAAATTAAAGAGAAAAACTAATTCCGTTGCTTGTTACATTTATAATCCTTTATTAAAATGATATCTTATAATAATATTTAATAATCGAAGTAAATAAACTATAATAACTTTTATGTTATGGTATATTTTATATTTTATATTCTCTATTTTATAATGTATATTATCATGCTGTCTATAATTACTGTATTTAAACCGATAAGGATTTTCTATTAATTTTAAATTGATTGGAATCTTGTTGGTGAGTTTTTATTTTAGAATTGTGACATGAAATTTTCACATATTATATTTCATTTATATTATTTACCAATTTATATTAGCTTTACAGAAATATTGGTTATATATGATCTTTTAATCGTTCGTTAACAATGTCATGTTTATGTATGAAGACTTGCAGAGTTAATATCAAAACACCAATTTATAGTTTTTCCAATAATTTATATGTTATCTACGATTGAGATAATTTGAAGTCTGGAGAGGACTCAATCTACTAGTCGAAACTAGTAACACTCATTAATTTTTAAGTAGTCTTTAAGTAAAATTAAGTAACTTTACGTACAATATTTATAATTATAAATTAACTAATTGTACGTTTAAGTTATGTAGGTATACAGTATATTCATTTGAATTTGACTTTTTTTCGCCCTTTTTGTTTTATGTTATGAATATTAGAGGAAAACGATAGATAGAAAATGATATTTTGATTGTTTTATTTGTTTTATTTTATAGTTTCAAGAGAGATATACATTTTTAAATAATTTTAAAATAAAACGAACTTAAAGGAAAATACACATCGTATTATCCTTGAAGAGATTGAAACAGAACATAGGGGTTACATAGTAATTACTTTCCCTCTTCTTGCCCCGCGAATTTATTTAGTGTTTTTGTTTACTTTTTAGGTCGTTGTCGCTTTTGGTATGTTTTATTATGGGATACAGTTCGAAAACTGATCTTCATACACGCGCCAAATTGTTAAGCATTTATTATATAAATATTATAATAACATATTTGTTAAACGTCTTTAAATACCATAATTTATTATGATAATATATTTGATAATTTTTTTCCGATGGGATTGTACGGGATACAAACGATCATAATTAAATTGCTAATTAATAACAAAAGAAGTAGCTTTAATTACATTCAAATAATAAACATGCTTTCATATTACATCCAATAATGATTTATCTCATTAATAATTACTTTAATGATATCCTTTATTTTTGTCGAATGTTGACAAATTTTTATTAGTTGTTGACTAATTGTTTTGGTGACATGTACCGAACTTGTGTTAGAAATTACATATATAGCAGCTGTTAAAAATTAAATTTATATTAGAAAAACACAACACAATAAATGATGATAATACGATATTAAAAACAAGCAACGAAATAAAAGGTGATAATATTTATTAAATTATTCTATAAATTTAAAAAAGAGAAACATTTCGACATTTGTTTTTTTAAAATATAACAAGCGTTACCTTTGTATTTATATGTTTAAATTTATATTACCATATTGTTTCTATAATCAATGTAGTTTCGTACAATCATACGATATATATTTGGCGAAATTTAATTATACATTCAAATATACTACATTTGATATCATTTAATTGATATGCGACTATAATAAGTTAGTAGCGTTACATTATATTTACATGATGCTAAAATGTACATATAATGCATGATTCTGGATACGGTCAACGTGATGCTACAAATGCTTTGAAGCGTTTCTTGATTGGTCAATTTGTAAAATTCTTTCTTCTGATTGGTCAATCAAACGCTTCAAAGCATTTATACCGAGACTTTGACCGCACCCTCTGTGGTTCAATGCATTGGAAGGATTCTGCTCATCAATGTAGCAATCTCGATTGTTTTTATAACTGATAATATTACAATGAATATATCTTTTTCTGTCAACAGTGATGAGCGGTTCGCGGCTTGGTAGAGGCCGAGGTGGCCGCCTGGCTTTGTACGGGGGCTGCGCAGTGGCGGTTATCTTGACGATGATCGTGTACCGCAACACCATCTCAGAGATGACCAGGCTTCAAGAAATGCAAGTACAATGCCTTCATCAGCAAGAATCTCTCGCTGCCCAACTACAAGGTAAGTTCAATAAAACGGAATATAAATAACTAAATGTTGTCAGGAGCTGAAACTAACGATTATAGATTTTATTTAAACTGTGAGGATTATCTAGTATATTGGCATATACTAGATAAGACTAAGTATTAGAAAAAAATAAAGAGTAAATTAAACTGATATTAAAATTAATCTACATTAGTAGAAATAGATACAAGTCATTCATATTTTAAAGAGTAAAAGATTGCGGAAAGTAAGATCTTAATATGAAAGTTTTATGATAGGATTGTACCATTTCCGATTTCAGCGAGTTTCACAAATTTGGACTCAATTTTTTATAGTCAATTGTGAATTATAGTCAATTAAATCCCTCTGACTTAACTACTCAACTGGACTTTTCAGTAACGTGATATACGATCTTTTCAGTAATATTTGAGTACAAAGTACGACTGGAGAAATCCCTGGCCGAAGAGAAGAGCTCGAACGCCGCGGTGAAACAAGAGCTACAGCAACGCGCGTCACGAGAGAAATCCCTGCGTGACAAGGACAGCATAGAAGCGATGCAGAGGTTTAATTCGCTTCAGCAGACCTATAAGCTCTTGCAGACCGAGCATCAGGACTTGCAGGAGGAATGTAAGAAGCGCGAGAAGCAGACGCTGGACGAAACTAATAGGCTGGAATCAACGCTGCAGGACTTGCGCGCTCGTATTCGGCAAGCTCAAGAGGACAAGTTCAAGGCTCTGGAAAACTTGAAGACTAAGTACCTAGAAATAATTGACGAGAAGACTAGCCTGCAACAAAAGTACAACGATCTGATAAAAAATAGAGACAATACCGGTAGTACCGTCGATCATCTCAGAAAGGAGATCTTCCAGCTTAGACGCGAATTAGAGAGCGCTAAGGTACATCACTCTTTTTCTAAAAGCATAATTTAATATTAAATTTAATTATAAAGAGAAAGAATGTAACTTAAAAATAAAATGCGTAATAATTATATTTATTTTATACGTAGTATAATTACTACTTGTGTCTTATAGAAGATTAAACATACGCTTGTTTACTGAGCAAGTACCGATTTCTATGTTTTCTTTTATATATTCAAAATTGCACGAAAAGAATTAAGACAATTATATAAAAATATGCAAAAGTTGTGATCTTATGCATTCCAGAATTTTTATGCTAGAAGTACTCCTCCTAGTTCAGTGTTAGTGACTCCTCGAGCGTCAGTGTCGCAATCGGCGCTACCGAAGGAAGACTCACAACCGATCCCGGCACCGCAACAGCAACAGCAACAACAGGTAAGTGCGCCACGGCCACCATACGTGTCTTATGACCGTCGCACTGTCGGAAGAACGACTCCGTCGGTGGAAAAGATGAATCGAAACGACGACGCCAACGAGCCAGCCAACAGTATTAGATTCGTTCAGAAGAATGGCAACATCGTCCCAGCTGGTCCTAACGAAGTGAAAGAGATCGGCGAACAGCGCGAACCCTCAGCTAACGATCTAGAGCAAAAGCAACAGAAAGAAGTTGTCAAACGTCCGAATGTTATAAACGAAGAGAAGAATGACTTCGATGAAGAAGAAAGAAAACAGGTAATGTCGCCACCGCTTAATCGAAACGACGACAATCCAAGGAATGATAACGCTTCAGCGGTGCCTGGTTCGCAAGCCGAGCAACCGTTGGTACAATCTGACATCGAGCGAACTACAGTCGCGTCTGGTCGATCGAATCATGTCAGAGATCATGCAGGGGATGACGAGCTGCAGGCTCTGCAGGAGAGAATAGATGGGATATTTAATCGTGATGTGCCCCATAACGGAATTCGTTAGATTTTAATTTAACTCATTATCATGTATTTACAACCGGATTATCTTCAGCTTGTCAGGAACGGTCGTACAATTTGAATCATATTATTTCAATCTTAACCCGTAAATTACATGAAAGATTAATTTTTTATTATGTAAGAATTATATATAGAAATTATCTTGATTATAAAATTACAAGTTGTTAATGAGAACCATTATTTAATTTATAAAATAAACCTTAATTATATATCTCATCACATTAATATTAATTAATAACAAATAACAATTAATATTAATTATTTATTAAAAAAGATTTTTACGTGATTACTTATGGATGATAGGGAAGATCTAATCAATTATTTAAATTAGAGTTACTATCATTTTATTCGCAAATAAAAGAATTTCTCATATGCAGTATATATATATATTGTATATAAAATACATTTATTTTCGAACTAGTTGCTTCTTTCTAACAATTCTGTATTTTTGGAGTAAATATTACTGCTATCATGAATATGGGATTAGATTGTTAAAACGTTTTTCTATTTTTCCATTTATACTTTCTCGAAATATATTTTTATTGTAATCTTTCTTTCTCTCCTTTTTTAATACTGCCTTGTATCACACGCATATTTGATAACACAGATTTGATCACACTACGCTTAATAAATAATATATATAGCCAATGCAATAGTCTTATATGCATGTAATGAAGCAAAATTATTTATTGTTTGGAGTCATCTTATTTTTTTTTCTTTAAATGTATTACTTATGATTAGAATAATTCTTTTTGTAAACTGCATATCAACATATTTCAATAAATATAATATAAGATGAATTATTCTATCTATATGTAATAAACAAATATGCTGGATATTTGCTTAATTACTATTTTATGATTTTTGAAAAATACATTTGACTGTTAGTGGATGCAATCTGCAATTTTTATAGTGGTTTTAAGAGATTGTTTTAGAGTTGAAAATGATATATTTATATTACTTATAAAACTTTATTTTTAATAGCATTTATATATTATTTATTGCAGACTATTCATAATACTTATACTATTCAATATATATAAAATATATATTTGTTGATGCTCTTTGTGTATTATTCATTAATATTAATACGGAACCTATTGACGTTATACATGGACTGATTAAATTTTGATTCCTGGAAATCCTCGTAAAATTGTTTAACAGTAAATGTTATTAATGACTAATTAATATTTTTAATAAATACTTTATTAAAGAATCTCTAAAGTACAAAAACGTTATAATTTTACAGATATCTTTAGACATTTTTCGATTATTGTACTATTTATGCTATTATGTAGACGTTTATCTCGTTGTATAATCCAAATGTTATTGGATAAATGTTAGCATTGATAGATGTTTAAAACATATAAATTTTATTTGTGTATATAATCTTTTCGATCGACTTTTCATCTTCTTTATCGAGCTCACTTTTGTTATTGGATATAAGATTTCATGTATATGCGTAAAATGGCTCGAGCCATACTAAATGTGCCTGTAAATCTGTGTTCCACGATGCATTAATAAATTGTTATTACGTTTATCCGCTTGTATTTTTATTGGCAACCTCATAATAACCTAGCTGCTACTAGCTTCTGCATCGCGCTTTTACTGTGTTGCCGTCGCTAATTAATTTATGTTCGAGGTTATTGCCTTTAGCTACGCTAAATAATTGCTTTAGAATTTATCGAACTATCAGAAAAGTTGTTTTTATTTATGTAGTGTAGCTCTTCTTCTCTCTCTTTGGGGATTACTAATTAATATAACTCCCAAGTAGAGTTTTTTCACTGTCGAATCACTGCATTAAGCACTGCATTTACAGCTCTTTTGTAGTTTGTAACTATTAGATAATTATTTATTTGATGCAAAAATACTTTTTATACAACTATGCTATGGAAGATTTAAGTATTAAGATTGTTAATGATTTATCGATGCATAATGTCAGGATAATTTACGCCGAACTAATAAAACGGAAAATAGAAAAATATGCGCAATTCCTCGGCATATTTCGAGAAAAGACAATTATTGTTACAACCGGTTCTATTATAACATTATGTAATTACAAGCATTGAATAAGTAAGACGTCATAACAACAAGTAGTTCCCGTCTGTCAACGCCGAACAACTGTATTATCTCGTATGTAATTGTATGAAACTTTTTTCAGATGGTGAGTTCACGAAAAGCGGAGAACACTACTGTAGCGAACAACGCCAATCTGATATCACCATCTCTCATTGACAAGCCCGCGCCGTTACCGGCCAGACTGCTGTCGAAGGTCAAGGTGCCGCTTGGTGTATTGCCAATACCGGAAATCATTGAACAGAAGGTCGTCGATGACATGGATGAGAAGAAGCGTCAGGAGGAGATCCGGGAGGATGCAGCGGCGGTTCGTAATAATTTACAACCGCCGCCAAAACTCGCGGTTGACAAGGAAGAAAAGGAGCCAGTAGTCGAAGCTGGCAACTTGGATCCACCGTTTGTTGTGAATCCTCCCGTGCGACACGTTGGCGAACAGCTTGACAGGAGAGCAAAAGAGTCTTGGTTGAGGGTCGGACCTGGGGTACAAGAGGTCGGCGAAGAACTCAATCGAATTCCTGGGTGAGCCTCAATATTTTTAATCGATTAAATAATATAGTAAATATAAAAGGTATTCAGGGGAGATTTTTCTAAAATAGCTTTATTTAGAAATAAATATTAGTAGAAATAAATATATTATAATTATAGTAATTTAGTAATAATGAATACACCTTCTATCCTAATATAGACAAAATAGTTTCGTAAAAATAACCGTGTTCATGATCTATTTTTTTCTTCATTAATAAATTACTAATTAATTTTTATTTTCTGAAAATAAGATTTTTTATAAAGATATCTTCTCTATACGAATACTTTTTGCGCTTACTATATAATAAACATTGTATCCTTGCGATATCAATATGTATAAAATATTTAGAATATGTAACTTCATATACAAATAATTTTCTAATTTATTTCAATTTTTCTAAAAAATATTCAGAGAATTTCAATGAATTTATTATATAATATTATATTCTTTGAATTTAGATTAGATGATGGGCAAGCCAACGGTGGTGACGATCAGTATGATGGTGCCGATTATGACAAAGAGTCGCAGCAAAAGAACGATATCCATCTGGCGGTGGGCGAGGACGAGGGGGAAGGTAACTTGAGACCGATCGAATCGATCCGACCGCGCAATTGATGTCGCGACTGCAAAATTATTCTCGTATCTGAATTTCAGACGAAGGCGACATGCTCGACTATCCGCATAATTTGAAGCAAGGAAAGCGGGAATAAAATCAGCGCCATCGTGCAAATGTTTTTTAACGTGACTTGCAGCTGGGTGACACAGGAGGAAATCGGCTGAAAAATAGTCAAACGATTTAATCTGACCTGACCTGGTTGATATTCATGATCATTCGGGTTTAATCAGCGAAAAATACTTATTGTGTATTATAATTTATACAAATCATTTGACGTATGTGTGAGATGTTTTACGAGAAGGGATAGCTAGAAATTCAATCCATCTTTCATACGAAAGCTCTTGTACAAGGATTTTAGCTAAATATCGATATATGATAGTATATACACGGTACAAATATCGTCAAATGTATCCGCGCGTTCGACGGAAACTTAGGCGGTTCCGGTAACTTCGGAAGGTTCAGATTGAACTATTATAATGTATACTTTCAAAGAAGGAAAAAAGATAGACTGTATTTTTCTAGATTAAGATCTACCGTGCACGAATCGAGTGACTTAATCGCGTTTATTACTTGAAACACTCGTAACTTTGTTACAAATGCGTTAAGTTGGATTTAGATTGCACTAGCAGAATTAACTTTATAACGCAATGCGACACGAAAATATCTCAGAAACCATTTAGTATTCATGCATTAAAATTAATTCACGTTGCAATGATAAAATTTATTATAAGTTACGGAAACTAATTATATTACTTTTTTTATATTTATAATCACACGATAATTTATATATAAGTTACGCATAGAAAGTTAAATGTAATAGTTACATGATAATGTCAGTCTTTTGTTACATTTGTAAATTTAAAATTTATAAATGCAAAAAAAGGTTTGGATAATTTCTTCCAATTCTCTTCTCTGTTGCGTTAAAAAAATTTTGTTATAAATGACTTGCATCACACAGTAGAATTTTTATATAATATATAAAGTTACTCTTCTGTTGCAATCTGAACCTCTTACGATATCGTTATTATGATGACAATTAATTTTATCAATTATTTTGCTAAGACAGCTTATGTTAATTAAATTATTTTAGTTTTGTTTTCTTTTTTACCGGTGCCTGTTATCGCTAATAATCATAAATTTTATTTGCTTTTAATGAAATTGAAAAATAGTCATATTATCTTGTTAACATTTACAGAAATTGTTTAATAGCGGATTGGAAAATCGATCGATAGAAAGATATTTTTTACATGGTCTTATTTATTCTATCCTTGCCAAAAATCTAAAGAATTATGACTTGAATTGATCAAGTACTAAAAACTTAACTGGGAATGAATTATTAATAAAATAAACTTATTAAACAGATGTGAGCGTAAGATAATGTTTTGTTATAGTCTAAATTTTTAGTTATATATATATATATATATACATATACAGAGATGATAAATGTACATAACGTTCTTTTCGTAATAAAAGCGATTGGAAAACAAATTTTTGTTGGTTTTTTCTGACTTTTTAAAGGACTTTTTTACGAATTAATAATGTCTGGACAAACCTCTACTGTTTTTAACAATAAATTGAAACTCGTTTCGAGCAATATGATAATATAATAGATTATCAACGGAATCGATAACTCAAGATTGCATTATTAAGGTTTAAAGTTTAAACATAGTTACGTACATTTCCGCTGTCGACGAGAGATGCGCGTTTACTGCTTTTTCACGGTTCAAGTCGAAGCTTTAGGTTAAAAAGAAGAAGATATTTACTTGTTGATCGAATAAATATTATTTCGTCATCTGTTGACGATGCATTTGCTATTTGAGGACTGTTTTTTGAAGCAGCTTTTTTCAAAATATAACTTTGCAAAAAATGCGTGAATCAAAATAATCTCTTAATTTTAGAAATTAATAAGTATATTATTTATAGATGCACGTTAAAAGTTTGAAAACTTAAAATATATTATAAATGCATAGAATGTGCTACGTATACTTTATGCACGTTGTATTATAAACATAATTTGAAGTTAATTTTTTTCAATAATTTTCAAGTTATAAGAATGAAGAAAAGAACTTTTTTCTTAAGATTTTAGAGGGTCAAATGGGAATAACAAGATTTACATTCTTCAACTATTTTTAGGAGTTTACTTTAATACTTCAATTCTGATTCAATCGCAAAGATATACAGTATTAAAAATTGAAGAGAGCTGCGATAAGTGGTTTCCATAAATCTCTCTCGACGCTTTCGCTCTGTAAGATGGAAAAATCGATTTCAGATTAATGAAAGAATAATGCACTCGAAAATATATGTGTAACGAGTGGAATATCTTATATAAATATATAATTTGGTTATTCAATGATTTTTTTAATCATTTATATAGAATTATTTATATTATGATGTATACACATATTTATCGAAACGTAATTGTGTTATATTATTAATTGTATTAAATGTTATTATTTTATCAACTATTATGACTCGTACAAAGAATTACACATATAAAGTGACATCAGAATCTTACAGTATTTATCGGTTCTCAGAATCGATATATAAATAAATACATGTATGTATATGTGTAGCAACACATAAAACATTTTATTTTTGTCTGCTTTGTGGAACACGATACGGAGTAATCTCCGCGTAAAAATGTAACCAAACCTGTCCGAGATATGCCGTCTTAGTGAAAATACGAACTCTCGAATATTTGTAATATTATTACTTTTATATTTTGAGATTTTTATTAAATAAATTATTTTATAGAAATTTTTATCATAAATAAAGGATGATTTTGATCCAGTTATAACTTTAATTTTAATTTTAAATATATTCCAATTAATATATTTTTAATAAATATGTACCATAATATCTTATCTAAATTTTCGTATTTAAATTTCTTTTAGTTTCTATATTTATTTCTAAAACAGATTGTGACATTTTTCTTCTTATTTGATGAAATCATAACTATTGTCCTAATTTTAATTATATATATTAAAATTAGGACAATTTTGCAATTTATAAATAAATGCAACAAGCATTGTATTTTTAATTGTTTAGTTGTACAATATTAAATCTAATACAAAAAGATTCTTTTGTTGCTCTTTGCATTTCCGTGCTTTTTATATCCGTATTTCCGTAAGATCTAGAAAAATTGTTTATATGTGAAAGTACTGTGAACATGTAGCTTTCACGTTTCTCGCCCAGAATATAAGAGAAACAGTTTACTTATTTAGTAACCTTTTGCCCGAGTTATCATCGCGGACCTTATTCTCGGTGAACCGTGTTTCAGACAGACTCTTACAGCGGAATCAAGAACGCAAACATACTCTAGATTCGTGCGTGCACGAATCGCCGTTTTAATCTTTTTTAACTCGATAATTTCCCCTGGCTATCAAATGTTCTACAGTAATTCACTCGCTTACAGCCCGCGTTACCCAACGAATCCAATGAATAGCTAAAAGGAAGTTTGCACGAACGTTTCAATTATTTCGTCATTAATTTGATTGAAAAATTATCTGATACATATTTTGACAGAGGTAATACACTTTCCAGACAAATATTTAGTTTCTAATAATTAATAATTTACGAAAAGAGGTAAATCTGATAATAAATATCACCGGATAATAATAAATTTTATCATTTTATATATAGTTAAAGAGATAAAATTTTTTTCACTTGGATTATTATTAAAAGGAAGAGAAATATTTTTTTAATGTTAAACTATACTATACATATATATAAATCATTTGATTTGTTAAATTATAATGCATTTACTCATCATTAATTGAAGGAATTGAATAAAAAATTAAAATGTAATAAATAGAATATATCGGAGATTTTTGTTTCGAGAAAGTTTATTTTGACGAGACTTGCCATAAGTAGCATATTCCTATGTTTTGAAGATGTCGCAGATAAGATGCAGTCACGTTGCAGTGCTTAGACAAGATGCTCACGTCAGCGCATATATCTACGAATATAGCAAGTGGTCGTGTTCAATTATCCTCTTATGAGTCTTCTCATAGATTAAAAGTGCTCACGTACTAGCGACCTTCGCGCAAGGTTGCATGACCGCACTGTGAGTCACTTTCCCGTGTAAAAAATAGGCGAATTGAATTAACAGGAATCTATTCAGTGAAATTGTAAATCCTATAAATATTCAAAATTCAGAGGTTCATCAAAAGTAGATGTAAAATATGAGTTAAAATAAATAGGTTGGACATATTTGACCAAAAAATGCAACATGAATGTAATAGATATAATTATATTAATATATATTGCGTCAAATGTAAATATTGTGAATGTAATGTATAATAAATCTAATTATATTATATATTATTACTACATTATATAAAAACGTTTTCTGAATTTAAAGATAAACATGGAAAAACAACTTTATAGAAGTATATTTAGTTGGAAAATAATTGTTGACCCATCAAAATAATTATGTAGGACGCGCAAACTGGTTACTAGAATATCAAAAAGCTTTCGCAACGTTGCTTACAGATGTTTGAGTATCCTACATGATCATTTCAATGACCCAATGAAATTAATTTCAGATCTGTATTTAACCAAATTTTTAAATATTTTAGTCAAACTACTCTTTTCATTCTTTGTAGAAACTTACGTAACTTTGTTGAATAATTCCGTCGATACTTTATGATTCACCGACTTTCCGCAAGAATAATTGTTTTGCAGAATATGTTTCGACTCTGTCGATTTTAGCTGATCGAGCAAAGGTGTAAACTGAGTCGCAACCAACACCGCATTAATATCATTTGCAAATCAGAGAACACTCGTGAATGTAAACATGCAAGTTTTATGCACGGGCTATCTCGGAATAAGAGTAGGAAACCACCGCAGATCATTTATGTATGCTTCAACTATCGATCTTTCAAAGCCTATACAGGGATAAAACTTCGCCCTCAAAATTCACTATTTCTTGGAGATTTATCCTAGATATATACAGGATGCAGAAATTTGCCGCGTTGCTCTCTTTTTTGTCAAATATATTGGATCGAATTTAATAAAAATTTTAATGTATTTATTTATAAGTTGTATTTTATAAATATATATTTTTTACAAAGAGATTTGAAAGAAAAAAAGTGGAGAAGATTAAATGTCACGTTCGTAAAACAGCTACAATGATAAGTTTTGAACTAATTTCCTGGTTATCATTTGATTCATGAGAAACACGCGATAATTACTAATAATACACAGTTGATAGCTTCTTTCGTTTGCTCGTCGACTTGTCTCTCTTAGCGACATTTTTTGCAACTTTGACCTTGAAGGCTTTATGTGCGTGAGTTTGGATCGTACGTCTGGTAAATTCTCTCAAGGTATACTTCATTGTCGAAGATTTACAATATATGCATTATTTACAAAGTGATTTACTAAAAAATCACACTTTTGGAAATATTTGCAATTTATGAGAGTTTGGAAAATTCTTATCTGAGAATTAAAAGAGAAATATCAATATCATTTTCATTTTTGTGCTTTTTTCATTACTATTGATTATTAATCACTAGAATTATCCTTGATTAGAAACTCTAAATTGTTTTAGAACAAAATTGGAATTTTATTAATTGTATTGAAATTCTAAAAATGAAAATTATAGATACGGATGTCGCTATTTTCAATGATTTTTCATGCAAACAGTTTATAACAATTGCATATGGACCACCTTGTACATACATATATGTATTATTAGTACAACGACGAAACTTGCTTACGAACGATCACGGGACTCGTAATATCTCCTAGGCCCCACTACGCGAACCGAAGATCGGATCGAGGTTTCAAAGTCCCTGACTAAGAGCAAGCGAACGCCAGTACGCTCCTTTCGTTACTGAAGGTAAGATACAAATAGAAAGTATTGGAAATAATCAATCATTAATATAAAAGGCATACAAAATTTATTTAATATTGAATAAAATCGTAGAGTGTTACATAATAATTATTATGTTGAAAAATAGAAAGTAATAAAATATTGCTTGATGAAATTGAATTCTTAAAACAACGAAGAGTTAAATATATAAAGCAGAATAAGAAATTTTTCGATATATTCATTGTATTCGTACTCGAAGATTATTTGATTTTCTATATATTTCTTTGTTGAACTCTCTCTGTAATCGTAATAATATATTATAATAATGTCATTTTGAATATAAAGTATTTTCGTTTTTAGAAAAATTGCACGGATAAAGATATTATTGCATTAATTTATTAATAATTGGGCCAATGCAAAGCGATGTATATTTAATATTTACTCTCGATCAATTAGATTAATTACGGATTCAATTCGTTATGGTTTTAGACAGCAAAGATGAAGACGTTACTTTTGGCCGTTTTCGCGGTGCTGTGCATCAAGGCAGTGCTCAGCGCAGATCCTAATGAGCACAACAAAGTGGTCTGCTTTTGGAATAGTACCGCTTACGAGAGGCAAGGTGAGGTCGTTTGAGCTAGTTATATTCATTACTCATACTCTTGAGACGCATATAAAGCCTGTTGAAATATTCATACAATTCTCTCGAGAATTGCTTCTTGGGAATTAGAAGCTATCAAACATATATGAACTTTTTAAGAAATTTGAAATAAAGAATGAGAAGGAATTAAGATATTTGGTGTAATGTTTGCTAATTTTATTATAGAAAAATAATAAAAATTAAAACGTACGTTATACTTTTTTAGATAGTAAAATTAAGAATAACTATGTGTGTTTCTATTACCAGTCACAAAAGTAAGTCATTTATGGAATTTTTAAATTCCATAGTTAGATAACTTTTTATTTGCCTTTTTTCGGATTTTAAAAGTAACAACAGAGCAAACGTTAAATATCAATTTTGTGAATTCGGCTTTCATTAATAATATATTTAATATAAATTATATTATCACTAAATGTCAGTTTATATCTAACATTTAAAAATTAAAACAATTTTGAAAGTAATATATATATGTGTATATATATATAAACATTTTTTCAGTCCTTTTACTATATAATATTTTCTATCTTAAGATATTTATAACTAATATAAGTTCTACGTTGAAACTTCTCTGGCTTGTATTTATTGGAGAGTTTATATCGGCACTTTGTATTTGTGCTGAACTAGACGTTAAAGTCAAACACACCGCAAAGAGCAATGTAAATCTAACAACGTAGACATATTCCACATGGCAATCCATAATTAGAAGCCGAATATTACAAATTAATAAATTATAAATGTATAAGAATTAGATTTTTTATGTTTTTTAGCCTTCAATTTTTCAGCAAAAACAATTGTTTATTTACAAGATATTCGTTTTACGTTTACTAAGTTTTTTTTATTTTCAAAGGTCCAGCAAAGTTCCAACTTGAAGACGTCAGATCTGCTTTATCTCTTTGTACTCACCTTGTCTACGGATATGCTCATATCAATTCCAACTTCGAGATTGTTCCTGGTTCGCCGAGCTTAGATACTGGTTCGGGCTACTCCTATTACAGACTTGCCACGCAGTTTAAGCGTTCGTTTCCCGACTTAAAGATTTATCTGAGCATCGGAGGAAATTCCGATCCTTACGATGAGGAACACAAATACCTCGTGTTGGTGAGTGCAATATCGGTGTTATGATATTCTGTTGTTTCAAGTGACAATTTTCAATATTTAATGAAAGAACATATAATAAAACAAAACCTTAATTATTTCATATCTAATTTAAAGTAATCATAGGATACATTCAGAAACGAAATAAGATCATAGTAATTAGCGAAAAATCAATAAAATAAAGAATTAAACAGAATGAAATTTTTGAAATCGATAGACTGAGACTTCGGAAGGTAGAACGAAGTTTATCAACTCTGTAAACCGGCTGCTAAACGACTACGACTTTGACGGAATTGACCTGGCATGGCAGTTTCCACCGGTCAGACCTAAAAAACAGCGCAGCACTCTCGGGTCCATCTGGCATGGACTCAAGAGAAAATTGGGTTACGGTAAATTCAAAGATGAGAAGGAACAGGAACATCGCGATGGTTTTACAATTTTGGTCCGTGACCTCAAGGCGCAACTTAGACCGAGATTCAAAACTCTGACTCTCACGGTGTTGCCTCACGTTAACTCTACCGGTTAGTATTCCACACATATGGATAATAACAATAAAATTAATAATATAACATTATATGTTAATATAATTGTTTGTAATTCTAAAATGACCATAGTAAATAGTCCCTTACAGAAATCAATTTATTACTGCACGCGGAAAGAATGGTGTTTTGCTGAAATATCGAAGAATTTAGCAAATCTGAAAATAATTTTGTTAGATTGATAAAAAATATAATGTAGAATGTTGCTAGAATGTTAAAACTTGTTGCAGCATTGCTTACCATGTTTGAATTTGCTACATCATTATTTTGATGATCCAACACATACATATAATAATTATTTATTTTCATATACGTATCTATTTAAATTTTTAAATACTTCAAAATCACTCTCTCCGTGTGGAAAACGGTCATTATTTGAAAAAGCACTGAATACTTGTGATACTTAAAATAAGTAATTAATTACTTTTTTTCAGTATTAAATTGGCCAGTACTCCTATATAGATATTGGGTTTCTGTCGAGGGTATTCATAACTCTAAGTAACATGATTATATGTTTTTTTCTGACAGTGTATTACGACGCCAGATTATTGGCGCCCAACATCGAAGCCGTACATCTTTTCGCTTTCGATCAAAAAACACCAGAGCGCAGCCCGAAGGAAGCCGACTTTACATCACCAATTTATGCCAGTTACGGCCGTGTAGCGGAAGACAATATCGATGTTGCGACAAGGTAAGAGTCTTGCTCCTTTGCTGCAACGCGTCTCCATTATTTTCCCGTATCGTCGCGAAATATAGTTTAACATAACGCAATCAATTTATGGCAGTTACGGAGACGAGGGAGACAATATTGACGCTGCAGCAAGGTAAACATACCTTTCTTCCCGTAATGCACTTATATTAATTTTAATATATGTATAAAATACAGCATACATACCCCGCCTAGTAAATTTGTGTGCAATTTCCATTTTTAATTTTACTCAATTTTTCTACATTAAATTATCATATATTCAAGTCTACTTTCTCCTATGCTTAATTCATGATTTGTGAGTTAAATAAATTATATAATGCATAATTCATTTTTTATCAAGTCAATTACTGTTTATAATATCGGTCTGAACATTAACATTCGTAAATATTCATCAATCTTAACATATCAAAAGCTAAAAGATTATGTCTACGTTTATGTAAATTTCCTTTTTATACTGGGTGCCTCCCTAACTTGTCCACTAAAAGCGGAGACATTTCGCACAACGCACCGCTTTTACAGCTTGATAAGAATAACATCGGAATAACAAAAGCAATCTCCTAGGTACTGGTTGGAGAATGGAACTCCCGGCAGCAAGATCGTCGTCGGTATTCCTACGTACGCTCGCACGTGGAAATTGACGGAAGACAGCCAGATTTCCGGAGTGCCGCCCATCGTGACCGAAGGTCCAGGTGCCCCAGGGCCTAACACCAACGAACCAGGACTGCTGTCCTACGCCGAAATGTGCTCCAAACTGACCGAGCACGCGGCAGGACGTTTGAGACGAGTCGGTGACCCATCCAAGAAGTACGGCAGCTACGCTTATCAGTCTTATAATGGTGAAACTGGAACTGAGGGGCTCTGGGCAGGTTACGAGGATCCGGACACCGCTGGTAACAAAGCAGCATTCGTGAAGTCCAAGGGTCTCGGCGGCGTGGCGATTGTGGATCTGTCTCTGGACGATTTCCGAGGTGTTTGCAACGGCGACAAATATCCTATCGTTAAAGGAGCTAAATATAAGCTGTAAAGAGCGAAGATTCGATTCAGACAGTAATCGAAATTCGAATCTATATCAATATCCGAAGAAAGCTCGGAAAGAATATTTCAGATGCTGACTGCGATGATCGTATTTGTATGTATTGTCCGATGAGCGCGAGTTATCAAGATTATAATTTTAACGAGAAAATTTTTAACAGCAGAATTTTAATGAGGTTCGTGATGCTGACACTTCAAATGTATTGTACGTAAGGATAATAAAAAAAAATATCGCTGCTTTATTATTTAAATCGTTTGATCTAAATCTTCTCTATTATTTTCGAGAGATAAGCTCATCCTGTAAAGAATACTTATATATATATATATATACTATAAAATCGTATTATAGGAATTTAGTTTGTACAATTATTATTTTATATATGTATAGAGAAAAATGTTTATTTAAATTTTAACAAATATTTGATTAAACTTAACATTTACTTGCGGTAAATAAATATTTACTAAATAAAAAAGTGATATAGTTAAATTAAATAAATAGTTCTTGTATCAATAAATTTATATTTAGTAAAAAAATGTTCGATTAGTATTAATCAAACAAATATTTATGACAAAATTTAATACATTTTTCTTTCAATGTAAGAAAACTTTCAGTTTACACAGTTATTACTTGCATGACAAAATATTCTTGTAAAATTAAAAAAGTTGTATATTATCATCTAATTTTGAAGATAGGAACTATAAAGTTTTACGGAATTTAAACCGTTGATTTATTTTATTAATTTATATTCGCTGATAAGTAAGAAGACGTTGAATCTGAAAAGGATGAAGGATAGAAAAATGGAAAACTGAGAGTTGCACATAGATAGAGACATTCACATATATGATATATATATATATTTTTTTTTTATATAGATAATATATTTTTTCGTGCAGTCTATTTTTCCGGCCAAACGATATATTTGCACGGGTGTATAACAAAGGTTCTTTCTCCTGTAAACTATAGACTCGTTAACATATCCAACATCGAAGATTGCGTCAAACCAGATACAGTTAATAATCCGCAGCCATTCTCACGCCGGTTCGAGTCAAACCTCCTCTCCTATCTCGACACAGTGAATCCAAAATAAAATCATAAAAGATACGCACACGTAGTGAATCGTTGGTAAATCTGATCATTCTATCGTGATTTATTTAACTCGCAATCTACTGATCGCGCATCTTGATCGTGCTGAACGCTGTGGTGGATCATATCCCATATTATAGGTCGGTATTCATAGTCGATTTTCTACTTCAAAACTGTCTTAAGTAGTCTTAAGTGGTTTGTTGTATTAATATCTTAAATGGTTTTAAGATACTAATACAGTTCTGTGATTGGTTTGTAACATTTTAAGACTGTACTTAGAATGCCTTAAAACCAACTATGAATATCGGCAAAAAACTAGTATTACTTTTTACAAAATACTGGGAGTGGTAGCTTCGTCAATAACTTTATGTCCTTCTACGGTATAGTTGGTAATTCGATAGAGTTACGTTAACAAAAGAAGGGCACTCGTGAGAATATATTATAACAGATAACATATAACGAAACGATACTTGTCTAATCCCACTTAAGCGAGCACTTAATATTTCTAGGTCTATGATTATTTCATCTCGATTCGCGAGTCCACGCGCATAAAATCGATGGAGTCTTCGTAAATGCTTCTTAAAAATATCATCTTAATTATCTCTTACAGAAATTTAATACTAGAAGATATAAATTAATTACTCGATTATTAAAAGCAGTGTGTTTCTTATCAAAATAAGTAATTTTCATTAAACTAACCAGTTAAGTTAAATTTCTGTAAAGAAAATGCAGGATTCGATCGTTTCTTCGTGGTCACGAATAAAAAAAATGCAAATTAACGACAGAAATGAATTAAAACTTAAGCGTTAAAAACAGTTTATTACAAAGAACGTTGCCTATTTTAAATTCCTCGCATCTAGTAATGAATCGTATACTTGATAAAGGAATGAATAGATTATTGGATATTCACTGAAAAAAAATTATAAAATTAGCAAATCACCGAAAAAGACAACCAATAAATAAAAGTTGCTTTTTTTTTAAATAACTAGGGTAAGATGGTAACATAATTTTAAATATATAGTATAATTCAAAACTTCGAGAATTAAATTCATATCTTATTTTATTCAGAATTGTGCCATGTTCGAAATTGTATCACCTTGTTCTACGTTTTATTTACATCAATTGATTCATCTCGTTATTCTATGCATAAAAATATTACGGTAGTTTATATCAGAAAATAAATAACTTTATATTTTAAGTTACAACGTGCAAACGCGTGTTCAAAGTTTCGATATATCTCAGAACATGGGAAGAAGGTCTATGAAACATTTTTATCCACTAATATAATATTTTATTTTAGCTGAGCTTCGTTACTAGAATACAAAGGATCTACATAAAAATGGACAAGGTTCTTTATAAGATCCGATCGAGATTAGTACCGTACTCACTTTCATCGCTCTTACGATTTTAACGCGCAGTGAGCTCATGCGAATCGATTCTTCTCCCTGATCATGATGTTCGTTCGCGGACAGAAGAAGGGTCCGCTTTATCTATTTATTTATATGCTTGTGGGTTGCCTACGACACGACGAGGGGAAGTGCGTATCTCGAATCATCGCGTCACGAATTACGTCAAATCACACACACCTTGTTTTGTGTACATAATACTGGAACGTTCATTCAAATGCTTAGATTTTATAGGCTTTAATGCTGCCGCGACGTAATATGGCACTTGGATTACGCGTGTGTATCCATTGTTTGTAGGTACTTGCTGCTCTTCTCTGGACGACCGCTGTTAACGAGACAACTCGAAGAACTAAGTGAACGTAGGAGGTATATCACAACATCTCCTATTTATTCTCAAATATAAACTGTTATTTGCCAGTTACTTCGTGTTCGTCATTAATTTAATAACGCGATAATATAAACTAAAGTCAAAGGTCAAGTAAACGGCTCGTTGTTAAGAATTAACTATTATTACAAATATCATCTTAAAAAAGAAATAAAAATGTTTCATATCTTAGCTTTTTGTATTTTATATATATATTTTTAAAATTAAAATACGTAACTGGAAGCAGCAGCATAAATTCTGCATTAGAATTTTATTTTCTAGTAGCCACTAGTTTTTATATCGTAAATATATATTTTTATATTGTGATATACTTCCTTCATCCATTCGTTTCTCCAATGGCAAACAAGCGATTCGCAAAACCGCCGTGAATAATTTTCACGCCCGACACCGACCGATATACGGTCGGTGTTATTTCTTGATATAAAAAATTATTCGGAGTGGTGATGTCGCGCGAAACTTGAGAGGAGCTCGCGATTAAGCGTCCGCGATGATCCCAGGCAGTTTAGTGGAATGAAATTGGTTTTACTTTCTCTCTTTTCTCGCTTCCTCGCTAATCCTTGGTTCACTTTTGCGCGAATGCGGGTACGAACGATTAATTAGCTCCGATTGCACGGAGATAAAGTGGATCTCAACTTTTAAACCAAGCGATGAAGCGATATTTTTCACCCTGCAACGCGGTAATAGTGGATAAGTCGCTCGTTACTAAGCTTTTTCTTTTGTGTCGCGACACTGACCACTTCGTCCTATAAAAGTAAAAATGCCCGATCAAAGCAATAAAGGGGTATTGGATCTCGAGATGCCGGAGTAGATACGCGGCGGATCAGATACGCAGCTAAGAGGAAATAATCTCTATCTTCGAACTGAGAAAGTAGCTAGGAAGAACGAAACGGAAACAGTTTCTGTCTCTAAGTGCTTTGCGCATTATCGAAGCCACGATGATTATCGAAAAATAACACTTCGGAAATCGCTGTGTAATAGTAACGATTTTTTCATTATTGATACTCATTTTTATGACGGTATAATAAAAAAAAATTAAGACTGAAGATTAAAAAACATAGCATAATTTAAATAAATTACAAATTATTAGAAAAATTGTTAGAAAAGTTATTAAAATTATTAAAAGAATTAATTATTAAAAAAATAGGGAAATAATAATGAATACTTGCAATTCCTTTCAATTAGCTAACACTGTTACTACAAAAATAACTTACTACTCAAAATATACAAATTAGTCGCCGTTAGCAAAACGTGTACTTTGCAACTGATGGAAGTTTTTTTCGATACAGGGCTATTTCTCTAAAAGTGCAATCCAATCAGCACGACGAAAACTTTTAACAGCTGCAAAATAAACGTTGTGCTAAACGCGACCATTAACGTGAACAACACGAATAAAACTTTCAGACAATTTTCATATATGTATAAGCAAAACTGAAATAGATAAATAAAAAACGAAGATAAATGCACACGGGAGATTTTTCGTCGCGCTGCGACACTTCCCGACTTTGTCCTTCCTCACGTTCTATAACTGAAACAGAGAATTAAAATAAAATAAAACTTAACTGAAAATGTGATTAAATACAGTACCACAAAACAAACTCGAAGCTTTGATCTTTGCGGCTCTACCCGGCCGCGAATAACGCCCGAAAGCAGGATTCCAGATACAAGCGTATCTGCAAAGTCCTACGGTGTTTCCTTAAGAAGTTTGTTACACGCTTTTTTTGTTTCTCTTTTCATTGTTTTTTTCTTCCTCTCATTTACGCTAATCTCTACATGACGGAACATCGTTTGACGTTGTACCTATTATCTTGGTCCACATTGTTAATGCTGAATACCTTGAGGAGCTTCTCGGTATCCTTGAAGCCGTGCCTGCCGCGCTGCTGCTGTTTCATCAGCATCATCGTCGCCGTCGCCGTTTTTTTCTTCTTTTTCTTCTTACGTTTGGTCTGCGGCAGCGTCAGCTCTAGCATCTGCTCGAGCCGCAGTCGAATAGGCCAACCGGAATTACCGTCCTCGGTGTCGCGATGATAGGTGTAGCTCGACGTGTTAGGCTCCTGCTGATCCCGACGCTCCCACCACCATGGGTTCTTGCACGTCTGCTGATCGCGTTGCGGATCCTGATAACCGTCCTCCTCGGCCATCGGCCGTCTCGGCTGCACGAAGGAGTCGTGAACGCGAACCGGTCGTGCCAGGGAGGATCTCTTCTTGGCTGGCGTCGGGTGCGCGGACTGATGCCTCGCCAAGGATTTGCTCAGACTGCCTTTCGTGCTCCGAATTCTCCTGAGTTCGTCGGGAGACATCGGTCTCTCTTCGTCGAGATACAACTCCGCACTCGAGGATGGTAGATGATAATTACCGCGAATCCGATGATTGACGGCGATGGCCTCGCCGTCGTTCTTGCCATTATTGTTGTTACTGTAATTATTGTTGTTGTTCCCGCTGCCGCTGGGGTTGCTGTTGTCCACGTGACGACACTGTTCGGCGCATTGCAGACAATCGTAATACTTCTCGGTAACGTGACGACGCATCGAGAAACGATCACGCATATCGGTGCAACGTCGATGTTCGTTGCTCACAATGACGCTACCACCGCGTACGACTTGGTGATGATAAGGCTGTTGTCACACCTCCTGCAGGTACTTAAGGGGACAGAGAATTTCCTTGTGGAGAACGTCGCCCTCCTTGCCAGTGTGATCGGCGGAACGCACGTCCGCTGCGCACCTCACCATCGCCACCCCGTCCATTTCTTCGCCCACTTGGATCACGATCTACATATGTATACATTGTGTAACGAAACGAAAGGATTGAACTTTTGCGTTCGCTCTCTCAAAGTAGGATAGGGCGGAGCTATTCCGTCAGTTTCAAAGTATCATGGGGGATAGCAAACGGTATCTCTTTATAGTGATATGTTTATAATTACTTTCTAAATATATATACAATCATATGATTGTTCCTTAAGAGTACAAGCATGACTTTCAAATGTTCAATATGTGCTGTTCAGAAACATAAACATTATTACAAGAAATGAATGAAAAAGCTCAGCTCTATCCTATATTTAAAAGAATCTTTTAGATATAAAATTTAACTCCTGATAAACATTTAATATGAGAGAGTAAAACTAAAGCAATGAAAATCTAATGTCATTCTTTTCAAATACTTAATTCACGGACCGTTTCAAACAATTTTCAACAACATGCAACGCACATAAATACCTGATCTCGTAGCAGAGTAGTTTGATCAGCCAGCTGCAGGTTGCGTGTGACCTGAAGAGTCCTTTGACCAGATTCCACCCGCATAACATACGCACTTGGAAAATAACCAATACGGCCACCAAGACATTTGCCTTTCCACCAGTCTTTCTCAGATTTGTCGATCACCGTGATTTTGTAACCGGCCCTGTAATTACAAGGCGCGCGTACGTGAACCAATACTCCACTCCACGTAATCAAACGCACGAATGGTATCGAACATTAATTGGAGCGTGTATTAAATTAGTTGTAATTTGCGACTACACCGCGCGAACATGAGAAAAGGGAACAATCTAAATGAAACGTTGTAGTTTTTTCCGTGTCAAATAATTACCTGGACTATATCTGAATAAATCACGATATTCATTACCTATATTTGTTATACGAAAGCAAAATGTAACACAGATTTGTCGTCTTCGTATTTCAATCTTTACAAGGTAGAAAAGGGTGTTATGAATTAAAGGCCCGCTTTTATTAAAAAAAAGTTCGAAAAAAGTAAAACAGATATCATTATTTTTTATTTTTTAAATAATTATTTTTATAGTTTTTGAGGTAAAAAATTTATATAGGTGCTAGTTAAAATAACGTCATATGATGGGTGTATAAAAAATTTAATTCAAATCGAAAAAAAAGCTTGGCGTTGCAGTCATTTACGAGACAGATTGCCACGCTACATGTCCTAGAGAGAAATAAAAAAAAAATCAGACGACGTCAATTAGACGTTGATAGACGTCTAAGTGACATCTAATCGATGTCAATTTGATTTTTATTTCTCCATCGGATATCGGTACGTATTACATAATGTGCTACCATTACATTTTGTTTAAATACATTAAAAATATAGAATATCTTATAAAAATGTTATACTTAATCAGCAAAAATATTCGTAATTAAGGTACCAGGTGTACTCTTTTATAAAAGTACATGTATTCATTTTGAGATCGTAAAACTTGAGCATTTAATTAAAATTTTATATCTATAATATTACATTAAAAAGAATTGTCAATAAAAATTATGTTCTAGAAATTTTATTTTATTAAGTACCTATATATATACATTTAATGCATAAGAAAATTATATTCCTTCCTTTATTGACCTCCGGATTATTTTTTTCTTTGAAAAATAAGTTCACTGACTTTATAAGTGCTTATAATTGAAAAACGTTTTGAAAAAAATTTTACCTTCAACATTTTGGTATGTTCATCTCAAAATCTCGGAAATCTGTCCTTAAGCGCTATTACGGTATTTACCGAACACCCTGTATATATTTATTTCAATATCAATGAATCGTTTACCTTAACTCATTTAATACACAAGACAAGTCGCATAATTACTTAAAGTAATTACATATTCGATTTTATATAATATCATTCTGACGTCAATACTTTTTGCCACTTCGTTCCGCTTGCGCCCGAAACCGCGCGGGAAGATAGATAACGTCGCTATGAATTTAGTCGCGTATGTATGTTACGTTCCCTACTTCAAATAGCTCATCTTTCTTGCACCGACGCGACGCAGCGGTGTATAATATTCGGGACAATCAAACCACGGGGCTTCGTTAAACGATCACTATACTCTATTATCGTTGTTACCGGTGATTACAAAATGATCGCTTTCCTAGAAAATCTTCAGAAACAAGAAACGGTCGACACTACGCTGGCGAGAGTGGGGATAAGACGGTTTGGCAGTTGCGTCGGTTATGTCGTCCGCTGTTTATCGTTCGTGTACTCCGGATTTCATCAACGCTTCTTCGCATTTTTCGCGGTTTATTCGCATGGGAACGGATCTTGCGAGTCTCGGCGTTGTCGGCTTGAGTGACGGGTGACGGTTTCGACTGTGAGTAGTGCGTGATGTTGAACATACGCGACGCGATCGCGTCTGATGCTGGCCGTCCATCTACCCGTCTGCTCTCAACCCGTTCGGATTTTGTAAGTGTATTATCCAGTGCCTCGAGGAGAAGGAAGTATAGGGGAGAAAAGCAGAATCGATCGACAGAGGTAATTCCAATTCGAAATTAATCGGCGAGCACCGTTGATATTTGCTTGACATTTGAATTTTCTGTTGGCGGTAATGTACTTTAGCACTTTAGAACTCGCGAATGCAAGTTGATTTACGAGATTCTTGTAGTAGGGAGTACTTAGACGTATCTCTGACGAAAAATCTGCCGTTGAATACAGTTTGCTGCATTTAGCGGGGCAGATTTGTCAAGTAAACTCCGCGCGACCATCAAAGTTATTGAATAAAGTTTGGTATATACATCGTATTGTATACGTAGCAATTTCGTTGTGAATGAAATTCGCGCGACTATCGTATCGTTGGACAAAAAATATCACGTCGGTAATATGGCTTATTCTTATGGCTCGGAATGCTGTAGAAAATAAAAATGACGACGATTAAATCGAAAATACAAAATCGTATCTATTATTTATTAATCTCGCTAGTACATTATAAGCGAGCAAGTAAATGAATCGTGAAAATGCACGAATAAATTATCGATGACATCGATCAGTGTCATTTGAAACAATTTGCACTTTAATGATAAATCAGTGTATGCTAATTATTAATTACATGAAATTATTTTTAAAAGGATAACTAGAAGCAAGGAATAGGAGAGTAGCAGAGAAGGAGTGGAAAAAGCAGCTGGCGGTGCATCGACTGGTGAGTCAATTAATTTGTTAATTACGCATTATTCGCTTTTGTCGTTGCATGCAATAATTGTAGTCATGGAATTACGAACACTCGTGTGCGAAAGAATGTTTAAGGAATCTACATTGTTACAATTACTCTTAAATTGTGTTTTTAAAAATTATAATTCCACAAATTACTGGTAAAATAAATTAAATATTGATTTGAATAAATCTGATATAATTAATTACGTATAATATTTGAGTATACACACATATATAAAGAAAAAAATAAAATTAGAAAAGTTCAAAGTAAAAATAAATACGAAAAAATACATAAATATATAAAATATCTAAAAACAGTTTATATTTCAGATACTTTTTGCATTTTTTGAGACAAAAGTGTTCGTGATTTTATGTAATTATCAGATCGTTATTGTAAGGATTTGTAAAAAGAGATGATAGAGAAACGCTGCTTTTTCCATGCTACACAAGACAAGTTCTTACTTAAGATCCAGCTCGTCTGGATGTCGTGCCTCGAAGTTGTACAGAACGACGTAGAGATTGTTCGGTGGTAAAACACGCTTGCCGGGTGGATTCAAGTGGTTCTGATTGTTGGTGTGCGGCGATGGGCATGGCGACGTACTCGCCGACGAGTATGACTTCTCATTATCGTCCGGCAGCTCCATACTAGACATTCGAATAGCATTTCGCACATGTTTGTGCATTCCGTGACTCTGACCCGGACTGCAGGGTGCTGGAAATAACATTTACACGTAGCTTGTTATTATTGTTCAAGGACTAATTAGACTGTCACATGTAAAATGACAATTTTGCGCTTTCATGTAAAATTGTTTTAAGTTCTTAAATATATTCTATATCATTTTCTTTCGAAGCGAGCAGCCGAGTTCATCTATAGTTAAAACTTGTGAAAGGAAAATTGTTTACATATAAAAACTTACATACAATATACGTACAATATAATCCCTTAAGAGTTCATTAAAATTTACTTTGTTTTTTACATATTTTCTCTCTACGTGTATTAGATTTATATCACAAATTGCTGTTTGTTTTGCTATAAGTTTACGTGTATCGATTCGCAAGTTATAAAATAATATGCAAATTTTGTAGTATTTTGCATTTTACTGATATCCTTTTATAAAAATTTAAATCCGAGAATTAAGACATGAATGTACAAAAAATTGAGAACGAAAAGGATTTATTAATTTTCGCAATTCAAGTATTTTTTCCTAAATTTTTAAGACACTCAAGTTTAACCAAACGAGCTTTTAAACAGTTTTATCGGAAGGTCTCTTGTAAAATCAGCCATTTTACATGCACCAGCCTAACATTACACATCGGGATATTACGTTTGCGGTTACTCACACAGCCTGTTGATACTGCCGCTGTCAGAATGTCGGGGCGGTGTGGTTTCTCTTGCACCCGCGGCATAATAATCCCGCGGACGACGCACGTGCGCGGTGCCTTCCGGTGAATCCAGACTGAGGCTCTTCATCCGCAGATTCAGTCTCTCGCGTCTACGTTGCGGACTATGCGGTGCTTGGTTTTTCATAATTATCGGTTAGAAACGTGTTAGCCACAATAAGAGTTGCATTTTCCACGCTGACGTCGCAAATTAGACATAATAAATCGCGACTGATAAAGAAATCTCTAAAATTATGAAAATCTAAACCGTTCCGATATGTCTTTTTTTTAATGAAAAATTTGGATCTGTTTACAAAAGATGAATTGATAAAAAATTAAAAATTATATATTTATTTTTAACAGATATGTGATAATTACGTTTTTATACAATTAAGATAAGCAGCCCAGCATAAAAATAATCTCCAAATTGACAATTATAGTAATGTTAAATTCCAAATATGAATATTTAGTTTCAATCTGAATATATATTCAGTTTGTTCTCTTTCGATAAAATTTATTTTAAAATTTCCAATCAGAACTCTTTAATGACTACTGTAGATAAAAAATTAGGGAAAGAAGTAATGAAAAATTAATGAAATTTCCATAATTAGTCGAGCAATAGATAATTTTATTTTTACAAGTGAAACTCGTTTTTTTACGGATAAAATTCGCGAAGATATCTATCTTGAAAGAGATAATCGATCGTCAGCGTCGAATATGGAAATACCGACTGCACGAGCAAGCAGAGCAAGCAATTTTTTTTTACAAATGCACTCTAATTATTTAACATAATTTATATACTGAAATAAAAAGCTTACAAGCAGCACAATTATAACGGGACACGACTCGCAACAAAATATGGAAAATATCGAAATTGCGGAAAATAAGATTTTTATTTACAATATTTACATGTGCTTTCGGAAAAAATTCGCAAATAATGTTCTCGATGTGCGCGCGTAAAATAATAATTCTCTGCATAATAAACTCTTTAGTCCTATTATTTTAAGTGTTTCCGATTTCCTTCTTCTCCTAATTGCATTTTTCGACAGCACAAGTGTTGTATTGTACAACGATAAATTATAACGAGAACAACTGTAATATTTGGTGCACAAAGATTCAACGAGTCTTTTAGAGCAAAAAGAAAAACGAGCGTTTCTCTCGCAATAAGCTCAGAGCATCGTTATATAAAGGCGTTACAACGTCTTTCTAAGCTTATTGTTAAATATTTACTTTCATCGCTCTACCGCCGATAAAAGCACATTTCTAAAATTTTATAACACACGGAGCCACATGACCAACTGTTCCAAGATTGTTTCGTTTACTCCGTACACTGTATACTATGAAATAGAAATAAACAAAGGAGAGAATGTCGAGCGATTTAATCGAACCGCGTATTGGTGATAGACGCGAAACAAATTCCCATTTTATTTGCGACAATAAAAGAGCTCTATATACAGTGGAGCCGGTAAAATAGCCTCATTCGGTATCAGTGTAAAAAGCGATAGTGGCCGTGTTATGTCGATTTAAATCGACAGCAAAGCGCAAATTGTCTTCCACAAGTTGTATTTACATACATACTCGTATGTAACGAACCACGAACTGCGATTGGTTTTCTGTTCAAGCAATAAATCCGCTTTTGCGATTTAATATTTGTTATAGTCATTATCTACGAACATCCAGTTATTCGAAATGTTTTTTTTCGAAAAATTTTCTATTATGAGCAAGATCTTTATTTTTTAATCTAATTCTTTAAATTTGCATTTATAAATCATTTACTCTCTAAATTTCTTGGAGTGAAATTCACTTCAATCTTAACTCTAAATGAGTGAAAATATGGCCACTCTATTGAAAAAGTGTGAAAATAATTGCATTTTTGAATAAAAATAGCAGATTTTTCATCCTTTTGGAGTGAAATTCATTTCAAAGGAAAGAAATCTTACTCTTTTTAAAGGAATGAGATTTCGTTCCTTTAGAGTGACTCTTACTCCAAAAAATAGTAAAATACTATTACTCTCATTCAAGAGTGCAAATATTTTCACTTTTTTTTTAAACAGTAGCAATATTTTTACTCTTACTTCAAGAAATTTAGAGTACATTGAAAAAAATAACAAGAACGAAAAGTAGGAAGAAGGTCTTAATTATCGATTGAGACTTAATTAAATATAAGTCTTATAATATAAGTTACGTTCAATCAATTGAAATCTCGTGAAATAATAATCGTGAAATGGATTTAATAATCCGCGAAAACGAATAGAAATATATAATAGGCCCACACATAAGCTTTCTTTATTTTATTCCTCCACACAAATTTTTTTATATCTTAATTTACATTTTATGCATATTATATTTTTAAAATGGTTTATATTTCGAAACAGTCAGTATATGTATCAAACTGGGGAACTTTGGCTCAATTTATATAATATTTTAGTTCAGAATGACACTTTTTGGAACGGTGCTCTCCTGTTAAACAATCCTATAAGTATGATGGATCGTCGCAAATGATCGAATGGGTGTGTGGGTAGATAAATAGGCAAACATACTTCATGATGGGCGAATCAGGTTCAATTTAAAAGCATGTATTTGCGCTCTTCTCGCCGATCCTGCGTGATCCTACGCTCTTTCTGTGTGTTCTGTATATTCCATCGTATTTCTCCGCTCTTCTTCGTGCAGCAAGCTAATTATTTCGGAGAAATAAATTTCCAATGATCATGCATTCGTGATGAGTTCGATTCGCGTGCGGAACCTGCTTTTCGATCGTTCTTGATATAATATATAGCGGCCTATTATATGTATAGAGCCGGATCGATACACTCGAGAATCAACATCCACGTTTGCGCATCTGTCCGATATTCGCTGCCTCTGTGGTCATCCATTAGCGACTATTAATCAACGAGCGCGAAATACGTATCTCCTCAAACATCACGAAATGTAGTCAAGGTGTAGTTAATTAACGTATAGATGACATTGTTTATTGTATTATGTATAATACGGATTAAATATGTTTTAATATACATATCGAAACGTTCCTTGGATATTTCTAAATATTTTGAAACATTCTCAATTTTTTAATATTTAATAATACTCTGCTATTATACATAGCCGTGAATCGCACACAGATATAACATAAAATGTTTATTATATCCTCTTCGTGTAATAGTCCCTCATGTATAATAATTAGCATGGCAGTTAACGAACGTTTAATGCTCGTTTCTACTAATTTATTATAGATTAAGATTAATTTTTAATCTCAGTTCAACATACTCTTCATGTTTTCCTAATGTTCATTTCTACTAACGTAGATTAATCTTAATCTTGGTTTAACTTACATACTTTTTATCTTTTTCTTTAGTTCTGAGAATTAGAAAAAAATAAAAAATACAATAAATCGAAATTAAAGTTAATCCACGTTAGTATATAGAAATGAAAATAATTCTTATATCTCTCTAGAAAAAGATGAAGAGTATAAGCGTTGAATCGAGATTAAAGTTAATCTTTCTATATTAATGGAAACGAACATAAAAATTCGGAGATTATCGGGATATATTTAGATATCCGATGGGTACCCAAGAATGTCCGTCAAGTATATGTCCTTGTGGTATGCAGTGGTGGGAAGAAAATCGGGCAAATCGCGAGTCGTACAAACGAATAAATAAAATCGATAGTGCTCAAGCGGAAAGAAAAATGACGAGACCGGCGACGCCGTGGTGTCCTCGGGATGGATCCTTCCCGAAAGAATTTGTATCCACGATGCACTCGCACAAATGCGTCATTCGACCGAGGCGACGCGATGCAACGCGATGCAACGCGATGCGACGAATTATCATCGTTTTTTATTGGCGCCGCGCTGTGCTTGCACGTCCATCTCGGGTGTCCTTAGCGAAGCCGACGTCGAAGGCGGCGATTCCTGCGACATCAGCATCAGAGGTTGCCCGAAGGGTCGCGTGCCGGAAGTGGATCCACCGCTGCCGCGTCCTGATCAATCAAATTTCAATAACGATCACAGCGATCATGCGACATTCCGATCTCTTCTGATGGAAGTCAGTTTGTCTCTGATTCACTCTTCACTCGATTTCTCAGTTGATCTCTCAGTCTTAAGGTTGTTTAGGGTTATGGAAATCGTCAAACTCTCTCACAAATTCTCGTTAATAGTTCACGTTAAGCTAGCACTGGCTAGAAATTCCAATGTTTGGAGAGTTAGTTGATATTCGGCGATATTCTTTTCTCGTTAGTTACGCCTTGTGTTAACCTCCGTTGTTTAGGTTTTTTTATGTACCAATGTTCTTATAATGATATTATAGTTTCGTGTCGCAAGTGTGTACTGTTGTAAAAAATTTGCGACTTTAAACGAAAAGAAAGAGGATAGAAGCAATAATTAATAAATGATCGAAAAAGTCTTAAACATAGAATAAACACTGTAATTAACTTAATCACTATAGCTATCATTATTATTTATTAATATCTACTTTATTATGTTACATTTAATGAATTGCAATTATTACGGTTACTAATACCGTCATCATCAGCCGTTATAATATTATTACAGATATTACGTATAACAGAAAGCTAATGAGGGGTGATTTGGGATGGGGACTTGATAAGCCGTCCGTGATAAGCGCGATGAAAGTCAAAAAGACGATAAGCGATAAAATATTTCTCTCGTCGTCGAGGAGACACCCACGACGACAAAAATCAGCCCAAAAATCCTATTTGATGATTTATCATCGTCATTTTTGAGGGACTTAACGAGAAATCCTTCAAAATTAAGCATGTTTGAAATAAAGATAGTAAAGTGCACAGTTAATTATTAGAAGAATTAAATATAATAAAACTATATAAGTTCACATTTGATGAATTAGTATACTTGCACGTATTTTTTATGTAAAATTATTAGCGATATGGCTATCATATTTCGAACATTTAGAAATAATTTACCAAAATTGTATAAAAACAATTAGTACAATTTCTTGTATTAATTGTACTATCATATTTTATATAATTTAAAGATCATTAAGTATTATTATATAATGAATAATAATAGTAAGTAAAATAGCTAAAAGTACAAAAGTAGAACATATATTGGGCAGATGGCATTTATCGTCCTAGGTGTGACAAATGTGACAAATGTAATCGTATCACTACAGATAATCTTCTCGTTATAACGTAATAACGTAGTGTTAAATAATACCAGCAATGACGTCAGCGACTTACCTTTAAAAATCGATCAAATTAATTTTAATAACAAGCAGAATATAGAATAGAAGAAGAAAGAAGCAGCAGTAGAAGAAGAAGTAGCAGAAGGAGAAGAAGAAGAAAGGAGTGTACACATTAAAGAATCGATAGATTACGAATTTTACGAGTCATGTCCCTGAAGAAGACGAGCGGCTTTACATAAACACATAGAATGACTACAGACCTTGGAACTGAAAGTACTGGAGCACGAACGACATTAAACACGCACACACATACACGTGCTCTTAAAAAGAAATAATACATAAATAACAGCAACTTAACTAGCAGTCGAGAAGATAAGAATATGAGATAGAATTATTATATAAAAATAAAAGAGAATATCACATATTGCTTCTCTTTAAACAAGTATAAAAAAGTTTTGAGCACGTTTAATTTATACAATTCTCGTTTCGATAGGATTTTTACATATGAACAATTAGAAAAATAAATATATACATTGTATCTCATTTTCTATCTCTTTTCTGTGTGAGTATAGTAATATAATAACTACGATACTACAAATAATAAGAGTTTACTTATCTTCTTAACAGTTCAATAAGAGAGACTACTTATTCAGTTTATTGAATTAAAATAAAAATTAGGGAATATTATACAGAATTAATACAGAAAAAAATAGATTAAATATTGATACGAACTTGCAATTAGATTGCATAAAATAAGATACACATTCAAGAAATATGTTGCTCCAGTACTACGTCGACAGAGAGATATGTCTTTCAATAACTAAAACATGTTTCAGCTTCAGAAGCGTATCTATTGTTAAAATTGAACTATAGCTTTGGATATCGAATTCCATGAATTTTTCCCAATGACGGATTACAGCATTCAAAGAGAGCGATGAAATTCCTATTCAAGAAAAATAATACTAAAAATTCTACCCTCTTAGAAACTTATTATTATTATGATATAATAAGAAGTTTGAAAAGAAAAGTAGTACCGTATTTTTGATCGTTCCAATAACATTCAATGATTTAATGACGTTATAAAAATAATGTGAAGAATGAAATTTTGGAACATAAGATTCGAGCTTCTTGGTCTCGAGACCCCGGCGAATGTCGTGCATGTAATCCGCCATTGTACGTGGGAAAATTTTCGAGGTTCCGACGTACGTTCCAAGGTCGGCAGGAATTCTTGGTGGTGCGCCTTACCAGAGGTGGACGAGGAACAGGGATGGGAGGAGGCCCTCGCTGACGAAGGTGCTGCACCGGAGGGGGGGTGTTCTGCTGTGGGAGGCGTAGGTGGTGAGTTTGTCGAGTTTCCACGGATCTCGCTTGCCTGCTTCAGCACCTGGTATGTGGCGTCCACGTCTGCCCATACGGGATAAAGAGACACAGCAATGCAAAAGCGCACCGAACGGACTATTCGTGATTTTTCGAATCGCGCATTCAGCCAAGTGCTCAGTTTCCTCACATTGATCTGTCTTCTTCTTCCCTTTTTACGTTGATAAATGAGATGACGCGCGATAAACGATATAGCGGCTTTAGCAACAGCACGAACGAACGAATAATATTCACGAGTTAAATCGTAGTGCAGAGAGATGCTCCATAGAAAATAATGAGTCTTATTTTTCAAATGATTCAACAACTTCAAAAAAATCTTTATTTGATGTTTATCATTTTCTAATATTTCGTGATAAAATTTTCCGAATAAATGTTATTCAATTAAATTTTTGTAAAAAAGAAACAAGAGTTTCAGTTCTTAATAAGAAACATTATTATTATCTGTATCAAATCCAACTTTGTGGACGAGCATTTTACTCTTTCACTACTTTTTAATACGCAACAGTTACACAGTTTCAGCGAATGAATGGAATTGTATGTAGAGTAAGCCTTCAAATATCTTTTAAAAAGGTTTTTAGATTAAAAAGCTGAAGAATGCGATTCATATTCTATTAAAAATTACTCAATAAACAATTCTCCGTTGTATAGGAAAGTTATATAGTTAATTCATTTTAATGACTTTTTATTTTTCAAGTTCCATCGTTCTTTCTTCTGAATCCATTCACTCGTCACTACACGCAGAACACGACAAAGAGAAATTGCAAAAAAAGTTCTTTCGCGTTGGCTGTATTTCCGAATGGATTTCTAACAATTTTTAACTACCCGTCATGCATGAAGGGAAACCCGACGTTCTCCCGCAGAACAGGAAAAAAACAGAAAGATCCCCTCGATCCAATCGGCGAGAGATAACAGGCTTATCGAGAAATCGATCGGTTCCCTTCGTTCACCGATAAAATGTCCTCGACAATGAGAGAGCTGTCGCGTCACTGATGGCGGGGGAGAAAGGAGGGAAGAAAACGCGTCGTGGATCTCGTGTATCTAATTTGTACTCACTGTGCTCGGATGATGCTGGCACCTCGTCGGTGGCTACTTGCGTCTTTTGCCGCCGTAGAAGCGGTATGCCGCCGCCCTTCTTCGGCGCCAAGCTCGGGCACAACGCCGGTTGCACCATGTTGATGCAGTCCGTGTGCACGTTCGCCTTGCAACCTCGACACCGGACACCCTGGCGGCTGTGGCCACGCAGCACCTGGCCACACGCGTCGCACGGCGTGATCTTACGGTACGTGTACTCGCGCCAAGTATGCCCACCCTCGGACTCGAGGCTCTTCCTGTGAAAGCAATCTTCCTTGTTCACGGGTTTCTCGAGTTTCGCGAAAGTCACGCGTGCTTCCTTGGATCGTGCGATTATTACCGTTTATCATACGTGTTCTTGCGGGAAAGAGTGTGCATTAAATTAAATAAAAAAAAACCTATAATTTTTTACCCAAAAACGAAATTTGAAGTTAATCCTCTGTCTGTAATCTGGGTTTTGGTACAAGCAAAATTTCACTCTCAAAGGACTGATTGTATGGAAAAGGGTAATTTTAAATTAGCTGAGATATTTTATAGCGTATGTTGATTAAAAGTTTCCATAGACACATCCATCAAAAACGGACAGATTTTGCTGTAACATTATATGAAAATTGTTATTTTTAGTTTAACCAGACTGAGAAGTATCTTTATCTACATAGTATAGTTTTTTTTATATGCATGTATATATAACTGTACGTCCATAAGTAATGTCAGATATACGAATGGAATAACCATCGACACAAATATACACTCATATGTATATATTATATCTATACCACCCCTTTCCCTGCACCCCCACTGGAAACGTAAACTTCAATAATACACACTGCGCACATATGATTATATGTTACGTGTTTAACTGTATAAATATTACAGTTACTATGTAATTATGTAGGCTGTATATAAAGATAGTTTTCCGATTAGATTCATAATAGCAACTTTCTAACAGTGCTAAATCTGTTTATTTTTTTATAGTAATGCTATAGAGATTTATATCTATTTCTACCAATGCAGATTAACTTCAATCTCGATATTTAATTTATTATTTCTAATTCTTAAAACTAGAAAAAGATAAAAAATGAGTTAAAGTTAACTTATGTTGGCAGAAACGGGTGTTTATCTCAGCATCTCATAAGTTACAAAATATCATAGTTTTAGTTAATTTGACTGAAAGCACTTTTTGCACGTGATCAGTTTTCCAATCTCAAATTTTAATTTTTATTGAATTAAGATTTTAACATTTGAGTTAAGAAACTGTTTGATAAGGTAATAGAGATATTGAAAAGTTAACTTGAATTTTTTTCGAAAGTCTAAAATAAAAAAGAACTTAAATTGGACAAAAAGAAAGATCCAGATTGCAGACGGAGAGAGCAAAAATATGATTTCAAGCAGAAAGTTAATGTAGCGATATTAGATATAATACATCTTTTTTTTATTAATTATGTAATAAAATTTAAGGTTGGAAGAAAATAAGGACATTCTGTTATAAACATATAAAGATTTCAACGTGATTTGTTAATGTGTAAGAATAAATAATACAAATAAGAATATAAAATCAACTCTCCGATTAAATAGTAAAAATTTTATTAGGAGCAATTTTATGTTTCAAGTAAATATTCGTTTCCAAACGTTTTCAAATAACAGATATAGAATCGCAAATGTCAACTGATGTTCACAAAGAATCTGAAACTTACCTGGACATGGCGACGACGGTGGAAACTGCGTGGTACATGGTTGCCTGCTTTCCTCTTTATTAGTCGAGCATTCGCAAAACAGTATCTACGGTTATTCAAAGTCCCTTTCGTCTAACGTCTATGGTTCCCCTAATTGGGAAACTTACAAAGCACACGGAAGTAAAAGCATATATTAACTCAAACGTCTCGTCTTGTGAATTCACTTTGACAACAATCGTTCTATAGGTCTGCGAAGGTGCAACAAGAAAAACTTTATTTACTCTATGCCGTTTGTTTTCTAAGATGACGGTAAAGGCGTTCTGCTTGCCGGTGAAATGTTTGACGAGTGAATTGTTTGCGAAACACAAATTCAAGTTTTCCTTGTAGAACTTTCGCATTTAATTCAGTTAATACATCGATATTGAATAAGAGTACCTACGGTGACTACATTTCTATTTTAACTTTCAAAATTTGTGAGAAAATTTCTAATTTTCTATTAAAATAACGAGTGGAAAAATAACGTCGAATTAAAGTCTATCTACATCACGATAAAGCGATATCTAATCTTTGAAGAGCATTCGTTATTTTATTTGTTCATGCATACGTTACGTAGGATTCGCAAAATACAATAGTTTCTTTTAAATGTGTGTGTGTGTGTGTGTGTGTGTGTGTGTGTGTGTGTATAGGTATATAGTATATAGTGAGAGATAAGAAGAAAAATTGTATAGAGTAAATTATTTTTTAGTAGTATATCTTTTGAAGTAGAACTTGGAATTATATATCTACGTATCATTTTTCCTTCTTTTCAATGTAGGTTAATGAAATTTTCAATTTGCGCATCCCACGAATGTATCCCAGCTGCACTATTCTCTACTGAGCGTCTCGAAACAAAGTTTAGCAAAGAGAAACACGAATGAGTGTCGGATTTACTCGAAAAGCAAAAGTGATCCTCTTTCGTTTCCGGGGTTTGTATCGAAGAGTACATATAGAGTACATATAGAGAGCAAATATATATATATAGTTCCCGGTGTCGCCCGGTGTAGAAAACCATCTCCGTCGCGTCGAAAACTTTGTCAGCGCTTTTTCGCGACATGCACGTGATGGAAACTGGTATTAGTAGAAAGGAAATAAGTAGCTCACTTGTCGGATAGCGGTGGTGTCGTGGGCGAACTAGTCTTTAGGCTCTTGAACGCTTTCAACCATTTCAACTTGGGACTTCCGGTCGAACCGTTTGACATCTTCCGACTGGTCATCCCATCCGGTTGACCAGCTTCACCTCCCCCGAAAAGTTCCTTCTGCGAGTGACAAAAAAATATATAAGTATATACACGTTTTATATACATAACACATTTTTAATAATCAAATAATATCTGATATAAAATATACCTATTTTTAATTCATGTACAATATTTCCGTTTCGTAACAAGCAATATATGGAAAAGTTTGTCATTATTTCCATCTTTTCAGTTGTGTTGAAAAATTTTGTTTTTTGAAATATCTATAAAAAAAAACTCGAATAATTGAAGTTTTGAAAAAGAACGAGAAATTTAGACTTAATAAATAATGGAATTTCACTTTTTATTTAATTTCAATGAATTAAAACTTAACGGAATTTCAATTATAATTACTTGTCAACTTTAATTATAATTGAAGTTGACAATCGAACAAATTATAAATGAGGTACTAAACTACGCGAAATTACTGATAAGGAAATATAGGTTCGATATCGCTTATTAATGAATCCGTATGCAAAGACGATCTAAAACAATCTATATACATAAGTTTACACTTTGTGAATAAGAGAAGAGTCCATTACCGTTCGTACGGAAACGACGATAATGAATACATATTTCTTTGCGTATCAATTCGCGTGTTTACGCGTCCTTATGAATGAGTAAGGGGCGAGCCCTACGTACACGTGACTCAGGGTGAATTTAATCCATATCCACGTGGGGAGTATTATTCCAACGATTCCTACGTAGTTATTATATTATTACATATTATATGCCATCTCTTGTCGATAATAATCATCGCGTGCAAAACAACGAGATTATGTATGTCTTATTCACGCACGATTTAGCGATTCGACTAATATGTCCTCCAATTAAAAATTGCAATTTTTTTTTAAATCAGATAAGTAGTCGCTGATAATTGCTACATATAAATCTCAATGTGAACAACAGTTACTCCTCATTAGTTTTACTTAAAAAATAATTTATGCGTCATAAATGCGATTCTTTTATAAGCTTTTAAATGATTAAATAATACAGCTAGCTGTATTATTGCACTGTTTTAGTTTCTACAACGTATGAGGATAAGGTTTTGTCGTTCTACGATTAAGAGTTTCATCTCTGTCGCAATACGCGCTTAGCAACACGTTACCCTGAAAACGGATGCGTCAATACACCACCCTGGTTGAAACGTTTCTATGGAGATATCACTGCGATTCGACCGTTTTCAACTGTAGGAATATATTCATTGACAATAGATGCATGTGTCAACTTTCATTGATCCTCGTGGTCATTGAGAATATACTCGGCCATTGTTCGCTGTCGTAACATTAGCCTCTTTGTGCTCGATTTCACAATGAATAAGTAACTCCTTATCCGTTTAATAACACAGCATCTCCCCCCATGTTCGCATAATCATTATACAAACTTGATTAATACATTAATATATATTTTTCAATTCCTTTTAAAATTAATATTACGATCAAACGTAAAATCACGTAGACTTAATTTCAAATATAACGACAATCAATGAATGACAATATTGTGTCAATATAAAACAATATCACCAGATAATCGAACGTTAATGCTCTTAATAATCATAAATATTGAGAGTATCGTTTAAGCACTTTTCAACCAGGGCGGTCTGCTTGTGATGTACTCCTCGTCGAGCGAGTCCACTGGATCATGCGGCACCCTTGTGTCTAGCGTGCTCGGAACCATAATACACCAGAAGAAAAAATACTAACGACTCGCGTGCGTAACGTAGTCCATCCCATTGTTCGGATCACTGGACACGATCACGATTACGATATTACGACGAGCGATGGTAAAACGGCAGCGCGCGGCCAGACAGCGACGATCCTGCTCGCCTGACCTGGATAGACGGACTCTCTCTCGACGAGGCCAGAAATGGATTTTCAGACGCTCGTGCTCGCCGATGACCCAGTTGCAAGGGCGCATGTCGCACGATTGTGCGCGCCAGTATTTATCCGGTGTTTAGGCTAAAGCGTACCAGTGAATGACCAATCGCCAATGAATGGCCACACAGACACAAGCCTCCTACTTAGGAAACTTTTGAAAAGTGAACCCCGTTCATATTTGTCAATGTCACACACACACACACACACACACACACACACATACATACACCGAAAAATTGCGTCTCCAAGGCGAGCCGACCGTAAACAATTCACCACGCGCGATATTTTTCCATATGCGCGTACTGAAATTACCTTAGTTATAATTTAAAATATAATCCTTTTCTCGGATTATACACAACTATTAAATTATTTCTTTTTTCGATTTTCGTATTTGTTTAGCTCTTTTTCAAATTACGCTATTGTATATTAATCTATTTTAGAAACGCATTAACAAAATTGAATTTTCTGTGAAATGATAAATTCAATTTGCCAACGTACTTTAACGAACATAGGTTCGCTTGTGATATTTATAGCCGTATAAAGTGACATAATTTATTTTGTAAACGTGATATTGTGCTGCTATATCAGTTTTCAATATTGTCTCATTAATTATAGTTACTGAAGACACGTGATTAATACTGGCGATTTCATTATCTTAACAGACCTTTTTATCAATTCTAGATGATGCAATTTTCACTTTAAGTTAATAATGAACAATTGAGCAGCTCTTCACTGAGGCATCCATCCTGTATACTATACATAGATGAGGCTCTCGATGCCACGCGTGGTCGGACAAATTGGATGAAATGGGGAGAACTCGCAAGATAGATGCCTCTGATCCATTTTCGTGAACATAGAGTCATTTAATATAGGACTATTTATTCTAGAATTTAACCGAAGTTTTACCTCATAATTTATATTTATTATTAATTTTAATATGTTACTATTATATTTCCACATAGGTATATTAATATTGTTGTATTTCACACAAGTGAGTTTTATAAGAGAATCGCATTTGAATACGTATCTTATTATTTTTCACGATTCGTGCTATTGCAATAAATGACATACGGTTCGCGAGATCGCGTTTTAAAAGCGCTAGTTGCATGATAAATACGAGTACGTTTTTTGCATCGGGATGAATATAAAGTAATAAATGCGGCATGTCAGACTCAGAGATAAATAAAATAATAAACGTGCGACGAACGCTGCGTAATATGATGGTAACTAAAGGGAACAAAGAATATGCTTACCTGTGCTTGCACCGCTGCTAGACGCAGTTGCGCAACACCGAGGTCGAGACGCTTCAGAGAAATATCTTCTTGTAGCTCAGCTACTTTCGTGTAAAGATTACTCTCGGCACTCCTGCAATGGGAAGTGATAAAATAACTCTTATCCATGTTTTTCTCCTTAAAAGATTAAAAAACTGACGTTTATGCGAGCTACCAAGCTGACTAAAAAATATAGCTTCATCAAACGTTCGAAAGTCAAGAAACAGTCTTGATTAATCCTTTGTGTAAAGAATACATTGAGGAAAAATGTACTAAATTTTAATGAATATTTAGATTTGAATAATATTAAACGTGTACTTATAGTAAATAAATATTTACTCACTAAAAAAAGTAATTTTCAAGTCAAATAAAATGGTTTTTATATCAAATAAATATATTTTTATATTTGGCAAATATTTATTTTGTACTATTCAAAAACAAATAATTTATTAAAATTGAAAATTTTATTTCAATATAATAAAATCTTAATGGAAAAACCACATTCAATAATAGTACAAATAATAATAAATATTTTCCTCAAAAATATTTCACAAGAATTTTTCACGTTGTAATAAGGTGCATGAAATGAATCATTATAAACTTGACAGGAACGAAATTTCCTGTTGTAAAACATAAAGCAAAATCCAAGTAGTAAAAGAAAAAATTTTTTAAAATGAAATATATATTTTTTACATATACCTAATTAACACGTTGACTACTATATGATGGTTACTGGTAACCAGTGCTACTAAAGCTGCATCCCAGAAAAATTTTCCTCAAAGTATATAGTACACATATACATATACTACACTATATAGAGTAAAATCTTCGGAGAGAACGTTTTAGAATATACCTTAAAACTTTTTAACATATTTGTGAAAAATAAATACCATTTAAAATTTTTAATGACATAAGTAGCTAGAACAGCGTCAAATAAAAAAATATATAGTTTATACTACATGAAAATAAAGTATTTAATCGTATACATTATATAATATATAATGATAATAATAAAATTATGTGTACACGCCACAAAAAATTACTAGGCAGATGACATGTGTTAGAAAAGCTGTGCTGCAGACTGACACGAAGCTAATGAGATGTTAAGCTCGTTATTCGCAGAGTTACAAATACACGATTGCATCAAAAATAAACTGTACGTACTTTCGTTGCATCCGCACGAGAGCGTCCAGAGCGTCTTGCAGACGACCTATTTCCTGGCTGAGGCTATCGTACTCGTGTTTAAGATCCTCCATGAGCGGAAGCGTGCTGGTGCCCGTTGGTACCAGTTCGTCCCTGAGCGTGGGTATTTGACTGATTCTCTCCATCGGTATCTGCTCGGGTGGTGCCGGCGCGACATACAGGCGTCGCGGTGGCTTCCGCGGCGTCGCGTTCACTGACAGGTTTCGCGCCAAGGCCTTAAATAACGTTACATTATCACTTATGATTATTTGATTTACGTCTGATAACTGGCGAACGCAAAAATGAAAGGAAGTAAAATAAGCATCGAATAAAATACATTCGCGAAAGAACTAACCAAGTAAATTGGAAATAGAATGATATAATGCGTGACACATAATGCAACGTAACACGTTTCGCAAATTTATGTGAGACATGTATTGTATTATGTGATTTAAATATATTTTTCATTGCAAATCGTATATCAATCGTCACGAAATAAAGACCTTAACTATACGCGATGATATACGCGAGATGAAATTTCGAAGAAAAGTATTTATCTTGTCACTGTCAACGTCTCTGAATTAATAGTCTCTTGCGATGTAGATAGGAGTATGCATTTGAAGCCCAGTTTTTCATTTTACTGATTTTTCATTGAACTGATAGTTTTGACCCAGACAACATATATGTTTAAAAATTAACTAAAAGATATCATAAAGACGTCTTCTAGACATTCCATATTGTCTGGAGAGTGAACTTTTAAACTTGCCTCTGAAACCAATAGTTTAGCGATCAATACTTTAGTTAGAAAAACATGATTTTTACATTATCATTAAGTTAAGTGAAATTAAGTTTAAATTATAAGTTAGCCAGACAATGAAAACTGATGCGATATTCATAGTCGGATCTTTAGGATTGTCTTAAGATGGACCAATCAGAGAGGGCTGTATTAACATCTTAAGACGTTACTTAAAACGATGTTAAAATATAAGAACCGACTATGAATACCGGCCAAACCGATATTTCCGACGAGAGCCTGTTATCCGACCGACGGATTCAAGAAGGACAAATCAGTGAATATCAGCGTGTTTGGTCAGCCGAACAAGTTAACTCATCGTGCATACATTGACACACGCGAATAAACGCGAATACAAACGCGGTGATCTCGAGCGGCCGAAATCCTGGACGCATGCCCTCACAGTGAATATGACCGGCTTTAATCAGGCAGCCCTGTTTTCATTCTGTGTCCCTCTTCTCGGAATACCGACGATTGTAATCCACCATCAGATACCTCACCGTCCCGAAATTGGATATATGCTCGGTACGTCTATTTGCTATGCGTGATCAATATGTCCGGAATAATCGTATCGTCATGGGCATCGTATCTGTGCACGATCGATCGGTTTTGCTTGACGTATCGAGTCGCGAGATTGACACGGTAGATGCTCACCCATTCGAGAGATTTGACCTCGTGAGAAAGAGGAACAAGTTGGTAGATAATTGCGTATTTCTTCTTTCTTTAACTATCGATTTAAAAGTTTCATAGATATTGTTTTAATCTGGGAGTAGTCATCTGATTTTTTTTTGCATAAACGATTATCTGAGATGTTTTTTATACCTTAATTAAAGTTATTATGAATAACGTTGTACATTATTGGTTGTTTCCTGATTTATTAGCATTTGAGAACATTATGCACGGATATGGATTTAATTATAAATATCTAAAAAAAGAAAATAGAATATTTAATACGTTAATTAGTAGCTTATGACAGTATTTTTAAAAAAATAAAGATTTTGATTAATATAATACTTTTTTGCAGATTCTCGATGGAATTGTATTTAAAGGTTCATAAAGAATAGTTATTACAAAAGGAAAAAAAATATGTTAAACAATATATAAGATAAAAGAATATTTTACATTTGACATTTTTTCCTACTGGAGTGTAAAAACATCCTAGATGAGTAGATGACTATTTCCGAGTTAACGAAAAGTAATGACAAGTTCCTTTTATTTTTCTTTATTTCTTTCGACAAAATAAAAATATTTTCTTTTTATCATGACGGAACATTTTAAATCGTAGTGAAATAAAAAAAGATGAAGAAAAAGAAAGTATATTTCCCATATGTGTTTTCCATTTTTCATATCTCGCGGGTACAATAATTCTTTTCAGAAAACGAATATATACAAAAAGAACAGTTTTGTTGAAGCATCTAAAAATAAAATTATATAGTTCTGAAAATAATATTGTTAATCTGTTAAAATAATTATGTAAATAGTTTAAATTGATTGCTAGAACATAAAAAATTTTACAGCACTGTTAATCGTGCTTGAGTTTCTTACATATCATTTTGAATTTCTAAGAAAATAATTTTCAGATCCGTATCTATAACTATACATTTTTAGATATTTCAACAAAATGATTCCTTCCGTGATACCTGTAAATCGTTCGACGGTATAACCGCCTGTGCCTCTTTGGCTACGATCTGGTAACGTTTGGCTTGTTCGCCAGATCGCTCTCCGGCAGCATCCGAGATCCCGGCAACGCATTTGCAGGCCAATCCACAAAGTTCTTCGTAGACCTCTGCAATCTCGCCCAGCAGCCCTGGCAAACAATGGAACTGATAGCGCTCAGTAATAGCGTTCGTGGCGCGTAGCTGCAGAATATAGGCGTTGTGTGATTCTAAGTAAGCGCGCTTCAATTCCTGCTCGGCGCCGCCGCCAGCCTCGTTGGTTAGCAACGCGGCGTAGGTGCGCTTGTAATCCAATCTGGCACGCTGCAACTTCTCCTCCGTCTTGCTAACTACCTGCTCGTAAGCATCACGATGGGCGAATACCTGAGGAACACGGTATACGGTGTATTAGCTCGCGTACGCGGTGTGAGAAATCGGATGAGGTGACGCGCTCCGAAAGCAAACACCCTGCCGGATTGAAATGCTATTCGCGTAACGTCGTAATCAAATAATCGAGTGGATCGCTTGGGAAACTTCACCGGCCACGTTCGTCAATTGCAGCGAACTTGTCAGCGCTCCTGTGATTCGATATCCGAGCAACGAGAGAGTCTTATCGCGATTCAAGCGTCTTTGAATAGTTCGAAATTGCAATTGCAATTTCGCAGAATGGCAATACTGATGTTAACACATCGTAAAAGGAATGCTTGGAGAGACAGAGAAATCGTGAGCGCGTCGTAATGAGTTGGGTCATCTAGTGAAATTACTTCTAATGAAATTAATTCATGGAGGGTAAGCTTTTACCTTTCTAGATTGCAGCTTTCGATGGAAGCTCGCCTCTAAAGTGGGCCTCGACAATTGCTGCTGCAGCACCGCGGCCAGATCGAGGTGGGAAGCTGCATCCGCCTCGACCTGCCGCAGCAAACTTTCCCAAACTCGTCGCATTCCACCGACATCAATTCTTGAGTCGCCCGATCGACCGCGAAATTCGTCGACCAGACGTCGCACGTTTGCCGAGTGGCTCTCCATCGCAGCGCCCAACTCCTGAGCGAACTCGGAGACTATTCTCGCGGAACACACAAGAGAAAGCATTAATCAGGCGATTACGTGATGTATACAGAACAGTGTTTCAGATAAATATGACAAATCGTGAGACTTATTGTTAGACAGGTAATCATAGTTGGTATTATTCTTATTTCAAGATCAGGATTAGGGATGTAAAACTGGAATTGAAAATTTATACTTTACATAGAAAAGTGAATGTTATATACCTATCAAACGATTTAATAAGATTAATGCTTATATTTAACAATACAATTTTGTATTGTTTAAATGAAAATTTTCTCATTTTATAACTTAATTATGTATTTTTTTAAAACGTCTACCTCTATATTGGCCTTTATTTATAGATGTCTATATCATCTGATATAAAAGAGAGAACTTTCTAGTTTATATTTCGGAAGTTTTATCTTTAATTTTTGTTTAAGAAATATATTGTCAAAATTAAAGTGTATGATTTTTCTCTATTAAATTTATTTTTATATATATACATATATATGTTTATACACTTCAGGCCAAAAGTTTGGAAGCACTTTTTACAAACTGACATTTTTGGGATTACTTCTTCAAATATCTACAATAATTATGTGTTATTTAAACAATAATATCTTCGTAGTTGAAAAAATATATTATAGGTAAACAGTTGAACAAATATAATCTAAAAAATATCAATTTTTTAAAAGTATTTCAAAAAACTTTTCATCTGGAGTCTATATTTGAAAATCAAATCATTCTCTACAAACTAAGCAAATTGTTTACTGACATTATTAAATTATTAATAATTTTATGCGATATCTATTATAATATATTTTTCCATCTAACAAATTGAAATAGTTATTTTTTAATTTTATTCATAAAAATCTTATTTCTGGAAATTTAAGATATTTTATATTTAATAAAATAGTAGTCGAAAACAAGCGGTTTAAAGGGAAATTAGAATTCCATTTCGAGTCTTGTTTCGGTAACAGAAAGTTCTGCCTTGGCAAGCTGCCAATGGAACCACGCAATTTACGACGGTAAATTCAACGCGGGAGTGCAACGATGCGGTTGCAGCCCTTTACCGTCTAGGTCGATTCGATTTGCTCGTCAAAGGCGTCGTTGCAGTCTTGACACATCGGAAGCGACGTTCTGAGAGAAAGAAACTTGGCGGTCAAAAGTAAAATTGCATCTCTTTGCGTCTTTCCACTTTCGGTGGAAATCGGCTCTGGTAAATGTTATTTTGGACATATCTAGAGTGGCATTCGGTTGTGGAAAATTCAATATTCTCGCCATTCTTATCCAATACTACTACCGGAGAACTTTGAAATATCCTTTTATGGGCGATCCGAATGACCTCTTCGCGGTCTAGGAAAGGGACGGGGAAGATTGTCAAAGAGCGTATAGGGTTCTCTCTCGAGTCGTTATCACTATCGCCGTGATAGCACGACTTTTTGTAGAATCTTTACTTCCTGACGCGGCTTATTTCCTCGTTTCGATGAACTGCCTCTTTTTATCAGAATCTTGCGTTTTGAAAAATCAAAATTCTTAATAATTTATTGTGGAGTTGCAATCAGAACACAGCAAAGAAAACTATAATATATTTTGATGCAAACTTTTTACTTTACTATACGTGAATATATAATATAATAAAAATTTTTTGTCTTAATCTGCAGCAACACATTTCAAATACTAACTACTTTAACGTTATCATACTATAATATATTAATTATTAGTGATTTATATATTCATACATTCATATATTCATATTTATGCCAATTATTATTTATTGTTGGTACAAATCGTGGTATTAACGGTTTCTGTTCGGCTAAAACATTGAAATGATTAACTCAGATATTCAGAAAATATTTATTCATAAATAATATTTATGCATATTTATTCATATTAAGCATATTTGAAATTTATTTGTTAATAAAATATTACTTATTACTAATTATTAAAAACAACGTAATGAGATACTTTATATGGAGAACTTTTTTAAAAGAATATCTTTTATTTTAAAAAGCAATAATAACACAATTCATGATTTTATTGCATTTTATTTCTGCTTTTATTATTTAAACGTTTTCGAGTATTCTTATTCAGATATATTAAGGATATATTTTTTGTCCAATTTCTGGTAAAATTAGCTTCATTTTCTTTTCACATACTTGATTAAATTTATTTGAGATGTTGACGTATGATAAATGCCTAAAGAATGTCGCATAGTTATATCCAGAAATATTGTGGTGATGAGAAGGTTATTGTAGCGCGTTCATTTGCGATATATCTTCGTCTACATATCGCTATTTCGGTAAGGGGCGCGAATCTGTTAAGGAATATATATTTTTTTGTTGACATAGAAAAATACATCAGACGTCAAGACTGATATATCTATAATATTATACTTATACATGTAAGTTCTAAAGAGAAACATTTTTCTTTATAATAATGTTTAGAAAATGATTGCTCATAGCGCAAATATTATCAAAATATGTTTAAGATTTTTAGAAATTTATTAATATTAAACATTTTCTTATATCTTTGTTTATATATTAAGCAATTTCAATAATAAATTATAGCCGTGAAATTGTCATGAGTGTACGAATAAATTCCAATATTCATCCAATTAATTATTTGTTATGTACGTAGAATTATTGAGTTAAAAAAATATCAAACCTATACTAGTATTTAAAAAAAATGAAATTGCCAAAAACAATCCTCTTGCGGTTTACATTTCATCACGCTGAGAGAGTGGAAGTTCAAAAATATGTAAGAGCTCTTACGCCAAGCCTCGATTACTGAAAATATGCAAACAGAAAAAGCTTGTTTTGTGCGCAAATATATGGGCTTAACAGAAACTGAGCGAGAGAGATACAGCATAACACAATGGTCATTCGAATAATCGGTTTGTCTATATTTCCGATTCTGTATTTAATTCGATATCCAGCGCTGCAGTTTTGCTGCAGCGAAAGTTTGCGATAAATTCGTGACAATCGTGACGTACGAGAACGCGGAAGATATACGAATCCATGCCAGAGCCAGCTTGCCAGCGTCAGTTCGCGAAGGCGAGTATCGTTTTTCCTCGTCAAACAACTCAAACAAACAGAGGAAAGGTTCAACTGGATGGCATTATTTCTCGAACCAGGCCAAGATAACCCGGGGATCCAATAAGATGAGCTGAGCTCTACAGCCTCCGAACTCCTGTTCTGCCAGAGTTATCTACCATCAGGAAATTCGACCCGTTTTTGTGAGCATTTTTTTCGTTCAGTTGAGTGCTTTCGTCGTATACTGCAACGTTAAATGTCTTTCGTTCGACGAAAGGAAGATCGATATACCTGTAAATTGTTTGGAATAAACAGAATTTTGTAAAATAAAGCGGAAGACTGTTAGCTCTCGAAATTGACATAACAAAATAAGTTTCTTATTATAATATTAAGTGTTGCATAAAAGATTGAATTGCTATACATAACGGAGTTATATAAAAGTAATAAGTAGTTACATAAATAATTACGTAAAAGTCAAATAACAGATGGAATAAAAGCGAGAGGGTTCAGTAATAAATAACGGATACAATATTGTAAACATTTGTTTAATAATTTCCATCAGAAAACTAACAATTGAAAATTAGAAATTAAAATTAATGTAACAATTGATTTTAAACTAGAAAGATCGTTTAAATAATTCCATTTTCATGTAAAAGATTTTAATCTCTGTCTTTCAGGTGCTTTCAGTTAATATCAACTTTAATTTTACTTAACAAAATTTGAACTTGTTATCACGATGTTTCACGTTTAAACTTTAGAAATTGCGAGGAAAAGACGGTATATAAATAAATTATCGCAGAGGGAAGATTGTATTGCGTCATTTTCGAATAATGTCGCACGCGCACCCAATGTGTTACGTATTAATAAACGAGCGCAAGCCTATTTATGCGGCTATGCAAATGTATATTTGCGCGTCAAGTTACATCAAGTTGCATCATGCATGCCATATCATGCTCCGAACAAATCCGTTGAAATTATGATGAAACGGAGTATACCAATTTCCTCCATCAAGTATCGTCGATAGTGATTTAAGCGGCGCATGAACAAGGAGCGCGCGTGCAATATCGTCCCTCATTAAGATATTTACATTAGCCTAAGCTGCTCTCGTTCCGGAAATTACCGTTTTGGGGGGAAGCCGAGATCTCGCGTATAATACGCAATTTGTTCGCTGATCTCTCGCGTTAACGTGGATTACATTAGCGCCCCTGGAGATCACTTAATCGCTTAATCATCGTTCACGAAAGCCTGCCTGCCGAAGAAGGAACTTTGTGCGACGCATACATAATCGGGGACGTTTTCAGACCATTTGCGTTATGGTCTGAGCTTCTTATCGACGAATTTACTTGGAAATGGAATATAATATTACGCAGTGAAACCAATATACGTGTTACTAAAGCCGATATAACAAAGCATATTTTACATTAAGCACATAAAAAACTATTGTTATACGGAAAGAACCGATTCTGTTGAAATATCTAACAATTTAGATATCTGAAAATAATTTTGTTTAGACTATTAAATAATTAGAACGCTCAAATTGGTTGCTGGAATATGAAGATCTTTGCATCAGTTCTTAATCCTCTGGAAGCGAGTATATATGCTCACTTCAAGATTACATTTGGGGTTAATTTGTGATCTATATAGATTACTTAACTAAAAGATGCATATATATATATGAGACATTTTAGTACAAAATCAGTAACAAATTGTTTCTTTTTTAATTTTTATGATTCACTAAAATTATTTTCAAATCTGTGTTTGTATCTAACCAAATTTTTAGATTATTTTACTAAAATCGTTCTTTCCGTGTGGCACACAATTCTTTTGTATTTATCCTTAAAATAAATGCAACATTTTTCTCAAATGTGATAATTTCAGATTCATTCTATGTACAGCGGATAACGTATCCCCTATATTTTCTGATATAAAATTATATTTATACATAGA